AAAAAAAAAAATGAGATGGATAGATAACCGATAAAGTAAGACAGACAAATGTGAATGACGGGATCTGAGTGGTGGGCGTACAGGCGACTGGTTACCGTACAAGTCTTTCGACTTCGCTGCGTGCTTGAAAACATTTTCTAATAGGACATTAGGAGTAAAACTGACAGTCATTGTTTCTTGAGTGCCTACTTGAGAGGTTCCAAAACCAGACAGCTTGGGATTGATGCTGGCTTCCCACTTTCCAGCTGTGTGTTCTCAAGAAAATCACTTCACTTCTCAGTGCCTGAGCTGCCTCTTCTGTAAAATGAGGGCCCTAACAGCACCTACTTCACAGGGTTGTTGCAAGACTTAGGTGAACTAATATATGCAAGGCATGCAGCAAAGAGCAAGGCATAGGGAAATACCACATATGGGCCAGCATAAATCTGTCCAGCTCTGGGCTGAGCCCTGACTTGCATCCTCACAATAGTACCAGGAGGTGGACACTCTAATGAATGTAATTTACAGATGAAGAAACTGAGGCTCAGTCAACACACCTTTCACAAGTGAGTAGCAGAGTTGGGATTCTCACGAAATCTGTCTGACTTCTGTTTCCTAACTAACATGCTCAGTCACCTCTTAAACTTGGAGACAGAAATCCTCAACAAAATACTAGCAAACTGAACCCAGCAGCATATTAAAAAGATTATGCACCATGATCAAGTGAGATTTATTCCAGGAATGCAAGGTTGGTTCAATATAGGAAAATCAATGGATGTAATACACCACACTAATAGGATGGAAGGAAAAAAACCACATGATCATCTCAATTGATGCAGAAAAACATTTGACAAAATCCAACACCCTTTCATGATACAAACATTCAAAAAACTTGGAATAGAAGGGAACTTCTTCAACCTGATAAAAGATATTTACGAAAACTCACAGGGGCCAGCCCCGTGGCTTAGCGGTCGAGTGTGGCGCTCCGCTACTGGCGGCCTGGGTTCAGATCCGGGGCACGCACCGATGCACCACTTCTCCGGCCATGCTGAGACCACATCCTACATATAGCAACTAGAAGGATGTGCAACTATGACATACAACTATCTACTGGGGCTTTGGGGGAAAAAAAGGAGGAGGATTGGCAATAAATGTTAGTGCAGAGCCAGTCTTCCTCAGCAAAAAGGGGAGGATTAGCATGGACGTTAGCTCAGGGCTGATCTTCCTCACAAAAAAAAACAAAAAACAAATAAAACTCACAGTTAACATCATACTCGATGGTGAAAGACTGAAAGCTTTCCCCTAAGATCAGGAACAAGACAAGGATGCCCATTTTCATCATTTCTAATCAACACTGTACTAGAAGTCCTAGCCAGAATATTTACACAAGAAAAAGAAATAAAAGGCATCCAAATTGGAAAGGGAGAAGTAAAATTATCTCTATTTGCAGATGACATGATCTTAGACGTAGAAAATCCTAAAGAATCCACAAACTATTAGTGCTAATAAATCAATTCAGCAAAGTTTCAGGATACAAGATCAACAAAAATCAGTTATATTTATATATATCAGCAAACAATCCAAAAAGGAAATTAAGACAATAATTCCATTTACAAGAGCATCTAAAAGAATAAAATGGTTAGGAATACATTTAACAAATGAAAGACATGTATAACGAAAACTACAAAACACTGCTGAAAGAAATTAAAGAAGACCTCAATAAAAGGAAATACACACTGTGTTCATGGATTAGAAGACTTAACATTGTTAAGATGGCAATATTTCCCAAAGTGATCTACAGATTTAATGCAATCCTTATCAATATCCCTATGGACTCTTGCAGAAATGGAAAAGCTAATTCTAAAATTCATATAGAATTACAAGGGAACCAGAAAGCCAAACAATTTTGAGGAAAAAAAAAAAAATCTAAGAACTGACACTTTTCAATTTAAAAACTTACTCCAAAGTTACAGTAATCAAAATAGTGTGATACTGGCATAAGGACAGACAGACATACCAACAAACTAGAACTGAGAGCCCAGATATAAACCCACACATCTGTGGTCAATTGATTTTCAGTAAGGGTGCCAAGACTATTCAACAGAGAAAGAACAGTCTCTTTAATAAGTGGTACTGAGACAACTGGATATCCACATGGAAAAAAAGGAAGTTGGACCTCTACCTGACACCATTTACAAAAATTAACTCAAAATGGATCAAAGATCTAAATGTAAGAGCTAAAACTATAAAAATCTTAGACTAAAACATGGGGTAAATCTTTATGACCTTGGATTTGGCAATGGATTCTTAGGTATGACACCAAAAGCACAAACAACAAAAGAAAAATAGATAAGTTGAACTTCATCAAAATTAAAAATGTGTGTAGATCAAAGGACACTAACAGAAAGTGAAAAGACAACTCACAGAATGGGGGAAAATTTTTGCAAATCACATAACTGATAAGAGCCTAGTATCTAGAATATATAAAGAACTCTTACAACTCAACAATAAAAAGACAAACAACCCAATTAAAAAAGGGGTAAAGGATTTGAATAGACATTTCTTCAAAGAACATACAAAGAACATACAAAGAATATACAAACGGCCAATAAGCACATGAAAAGATGTTCATCATCATTAGTCATTAGGGAAATGCAAATCAAAACCACAATGAGATAACCTATTAGGATGGCTATCATAAAAAAAAAAGAAAATAATAAGTGTTGAGGATGTGGAGAAACTGGAACCCTCATATATTGTTAGTGGGAATGTAAAATGTTGCAGCCCCTGTGAAAAACAATTTGGCAATTCCTCAAAAAGTTAAACATAGGGCCGGCCCTGTGGCTTAGCAGTTAAGTGCGCGCGCTCTGCTACTGGCGGCCCGGGTTTGGATCCCGGGTGTGCACCGACGCACCGCTTCTCCAGCCATGCTGAGGCCGCGTCCCACATACAGCAACTGGAAGGATGTGCAACTATGACACACAACTATCTACTGGGGCTTTGGGGAAAAAAAGGAGGAGGACTGGCAATAGATGTTAGCTCAGAGCCGATCTTCCTCAGCAAAAAGAGGAGGATTAGCACAGATGTTAGCTCAGGGCTGATCTCCCTCACAAAAAAAAAAGTTAAAGATAGATTTACTATGTGACCCAGCAGTTCTACTCCTAGGTGTATACCCAAAAGAATTAAAAACAGCTATTCAAATAAATACTTGCACACAAATAGAGCACTATTCACAATAGCCAAAAGATGTAAACAACCCAAATGTTCATCAATGGATGAACAGATAAACAAAATGTGGTATATCCATTCAATGGAATATTATTCAGCCATAAAGAGGAATAAAGTACTGATACATGCTACCACACGGATGAACCTTGAAAACATAATGCTAAGTGCAAGAAGCCAATCACAAAAGACCGTGTGCTGTATGATTCAATTTGTACAAAATATCCAGAATAGGTAAATCCATTGAGACAGAAAGCAGATTAGTGGTTGCTAGGGGCTTGGGATGTGTGTAGGGGGGACGGGGAGTGACTGCTTAACAGGTATGAGGTCTCTTTTAGGAGTGATGAAAATGGTTGGAACTAGACAGAGGTGATGGTTAAATAATACTGTAAATGTACTAAATGCCAATGAATTGTACACTCTAAAATGATTAATTTTATGTGAATTTCACCTCAAAAAAAAAAAAGTTAAATTATGGAATCCTGGAACTCCACTGCTTAATGCTTAAAACCTGAAGCTCAGGGGGCCGGCCCCATGGCTTCGTGGTTAAGTCCGCTATTGGTGGCCTAGGTTCGGATCCCGGGCGCACACCAGCACACTGCTTTTCCAGCCATGCTGAGGCCGAGTCCCACATACAGCAACTAGCAGGATGTGCATCTATGACATACAACTATCTACAGGGGCTTTGGGGAGAAAAAGGGGCAAAAAAAAAAGGAGGATTAGCAATAGATGTTAGCTCAGGGCTAGTCTTCCTCAGCAAAAAGAGGAGGATTGGCAATAGATGTTAGCTCAGGGCTAGTCTTCCTCAGCAAAAAGAGGAGGATTGGCATGGATGTTAGCTCAGGGCGGATCCTCCTCACACACACACAAAAAAACCCTGAAGCTCAGAAGAGGGAAGGAATTCAGCCAAGGTCACACTCTTTGCCCAGAGGAGACGGCCCTGCTCTTTTCTTGCTTTGATTTTCATCCCCAAATACTTCTCCAACAATAGCACCTGTTCCTATTTACTGAATACTTATTACGGGACTCTGTTTCCGTGTGTGATGATATCATATGATGCTTCCCCAACAAACCTGTGCGCAGCCACTACTATCATCTCCATTTCATAGAGGAGGAAACCGAGTCCCGGAGAGAAGTCACTCAAGACTAAGGACCCACAGCAAGGTGGTTTGACACCAAATCCACACTAACCATGTAGCAGTTTATTTTCCAAAAATAGCCGCAAGAAATTTCTGGCCCCACAAGCTCTTCCAGAACCCTGTCACTCCCCCATCCAAGGTGGAGCCTATGTTCTCTTCCCTTAGCCTGGGAAGACCTCTGTGACCGCCTGGACAAACAGGATACCACAGAAGCAATGCTGTGGTTTCTAAGACCAAGTGCAAAAAGGCAACTCAGCTTCCTCCTGGCTGGCTCTTGTGCTCAAGCTCTCTTGCTCACGCTCTCTCTCAACTCGCTTTGGAGCCCAGAGCCATCAGGTAAGAAGTCCAGCTCTCCTGAAGGCTCCATGCAGGAGAGACCCTGACTACACGAAGAGAGAGAGACGTCTGGCCAGTCTCCTGGTGTTACAGCTCCAGACACCATCTGACTGTAACAGCATGAGAGACCCTGAAGCCAGACCCACCCAGCTGAGCCTTTCCCACATTCCCGACCTATAGAAACCATGAGAGACAACAAACAATTGTAATTTAAGCCACTAAGTTTTGGAGCGATTTGTTACGCAGCAATGGATAACTGATACGACTAATAAGATGGGCTCAGGAAAGGGCTGTACGAATATTTCCACACCAGCCCCTGGCAGGCACTAATCAGTACTGACATTTGCAAATTTGTTTTGCACCCCTACTCTGAAATTGTGTGTGCAAGTGAGGAAGTTGGAGACATTGACTCATTTTGGGGGCTCAGAGCTCTTTGGAGGGGGCATTTCTGAAACACAAAGGAATCCTTGAGTGGAGACTGGTAGGGTCTGCAGGGACAGGTGCTGTTTTACTTGCCCAGTACCCATTCCCCCTGCTTTTGATAACAGCACCCCAAATCCCTTTGGGGAACTCCTCTTCTACACTGTAAGTCAATCTGGTGCCCCACCCTCCCCTGGCTAAGAGTAAGACAATGACCCAAGCCAGGCCAATCCCAGGCCCTCTCATCAGAATTTGAGCCCAGAGCCTTGGGAGGTGGATTCATCTCTGCAGTGTGGTCTGAAGGAACTGTCCCTGGTGCAGTGTCCCCAGGCTGCCCTGCTCTCTGCCCTTTCTGATGATTAATGCTCTGACTGCCTTTTCATTTTGTGAGATTCCTCATATCCTGCCATTCATTTTGTTTTGGATTTAAATTAGCCAGATTAGTTTCTGTTGCCAGCAACCAAAGAACGCTGGCTAATGTAGGGGGCTGAGACTGTGGCTTCCTACCAAGTTGGGTAGGGTCTGAAGTCAGGGGCCAGGGACCAGTGCAGAATAAAGACTATATTTTCCACCATCTTTTGCAGCTAGGGATGTCCATGGAAGTAGGTTCTGACCAATGGGATGTAATCGGAAGTGTTATGTGGCTCCCCAAAAGAAGGAGGTGCGCCCCTCTTCATGCCTCCCTCCTTTACACAGCTGGAATGAGGATGTGAAGGCTGGAGCATGAGCATCCATCTCAGATCACAGAGTCAAAGCCATACTCCAGCACTGCAACAAGATAAAAGGAGCTGTCACCCCTGATGAGTGCAGAGGAGCCACACGAATGCCGCACTGCCTGCCTCTGGATATGTTTCACATGAAACAGAACCAAACTTTCTTCTCACTGAAATGACTGATATCCTGGGGTTTTCTCTCACAAGCCTCAGAATCCTAACTGTGAGAATGCTTCTGAGAAGACAGTCTATTTGTTGCTTTCATCAGATTCTCAGAGGCGGCCTTGACCCTCCAAAATATTAAGAACCACGGGCAAAATGAATGGAAGCTGAAAGAAGAGTAGGTACCCTGGGGGGTATTGTTTGAGAAGGGCCCAAGGGAGCCTGTTGGGGGCAGGAAACTCTACAACTTGACCCGGGTGGGGTTTATATATAAGCAAAAATTCATGGAGCTGTGTCCAGACCGTATGTACACATTCCTATATGTATATGAGAAAAATTAGAGAAATATGAAGAACTACAGTCATGCATTGCTTAATGACTATGTTCTAAGCATTGCGTGGTTAGGCGATTTTGTCACTGTGTGAACACCATAGAGTGTACTTACACAAACCAAGATGGTAGAGCCTACTATACACCTAGGCTGTATGGTACCAATCTTATGGGACCACCGCCATATATGCGGTCCGTTGTTGACTGAAATGTTGTTATGTGGCTTGTGACTGATAATGAGGAGGATGATGATGATAACTAATGTCTTCCTGAGTGCTTCCTATGTGCCAGGCATTGTTCTAAACACTTTGTATTAACCCACTCGGGTCTCACAAGAATCCTCTAAGTTAAGAGCTGTGAGTACACCCCTTTTCCAGATGAGGACACAGGGCACGGACAGGAGAGGTGAGTCACTTGCTGGTTGGGGCTGGGGCTGGGATGCCAGGGCATGGGCGAGAAAAGTCAGCCAGCTCTGGGCTTTGTCGATACTCACGGAGTCCTTGAGCGCCAGGAAACAGTGGCAGATCCAGCGGCGAGTGGTCCCATCGCGGCAGATATAGGAGAAGGCCTTGTCCAGGCTGCGGTCGGGAGCACAAAAGGAGACCTTTTCGATGGTCTGGTCGACCAGCAGGTCCTGGGAGGGGCCGGGGAGGCCAGGAGAGGGACGTGAACCGTCTTTCATGTATTCATTCAACATTCCCTTAGTGTCTGCTCTATATCCTGTCCTGAACAGGGTGGGGACCCAGCACTGATTGAAACAGCTGAGGGCCCTGCTTGCATGGGGCTTCCGGTTTACTGCGGGAATCAGACCCATCACCAGATGGAGGCAGCCCCGAGTCACAGCCAGGCTATAAGGAGGGAGGCACAGGCAGAAGAGTCAGGGCCGGGATGGGGGAGGCACAGGGGCCTGCAGGAGCCAAGAGGAAGTGCACGTCCCAACTTGGGGGGGAAGTCAGGCAAAGCTTCCATGAAGAGGTATTAACAAAGCAAAAAGGCAGGGAACAGTATTTCAGACTGAGGGAACTGCCTGTGCAAAGGTGTCAATCCTGTTCAGTCATTAACCTAACTCTCATCATGTGCTGGCTACCTCCTCAGGCAGTCTCTGGCACAGGGGCAGGGAATTCAATGGTGAGCAAACAGATACCCAGATCCTGGCCCCATGGTGCTCCCGTCTGGCCAGGTAGACTGACAATAAACACATAACAGCTAACATTCATTGGTCTGAACACTTTACGCTGTTCCAGACACAGTTTTAAACTATTTGCATATACTTTCTCATTTAATGATAGGGTCCATTTTTATCCCCATTTTACAGATGATGCAAATAAGGCATGGAAAGGTTAAATCTCATACCCGGGGTCGCCCAGCTGGTAAGTGGGTGAGCTAGGAACCGAGCTGAGGCGGCTGCTCCACAGTCTGTGCTCTCACCCACTATCTATGCCAGCTCACAAACAACAGCATGACTCAATGCTGAATTATGACTACGAGGCGTGCCAAGATGGTACAGGAACACATGGCATAGTCTAGAAGGTCCCTGAGGGAGGGACACCCTAGAGGTGGGTTGGAAGGCATCCTGAGCCCCCATCTGAGCATGGAGAGGAGAGGGGCCCACTGGTGCCCACTCCCACCCCCACGGGCCCCCTACCTTGGTCTTGTCATCCACCACTCGGAGCCCATCGGCTGACACCCAAAGGACCGACTTCACAGACTTCCGGCCCATCTGGGGTGGGGGAGGAGGATAAAGGGCCTGGTCAGGGCTGCCTCTTCTGGTCTGACCTTGCCCCCTCACTGCTTCAGCCCCTCACTCACCGCCTTCAGCTTCTTCACAGCATCTTCACACACGTGCATCCCCCGGGACTCCTCCACCTCCACGTGGCCCAGGTACTTGGGGGGAGGAAGGGGAGACAGGAGGACATGACATAAGCACAGTAAGCAACAACTTCTAGTGTTCACTGAGCAGCTGCGACGCATCACACAATGTCCTAAGCACATCATACGTATTAACTCGTTTGCCCTGCACCTCAGCTCTACAAGGTGGGTACCCCACTCCTGGCCCACATATAGAGACGAGAAAACTGAGGCACAGCGTGCAGGAGTGATTCCCATCCTTCCCCTATCCCTGGGCCTTAACACGTCCCTGTCATCCTCCTGAGTGCCAGTGTCTCCATCTCTGGGCCTGAGGACTGGCCCCACGTAATGACTGATGGGAGCTGGGGTACACACGCCCCAGCTCCCTCACCCCGTGAGTGGGATAGCTCTATTTCCCAGTCTCCCAGTGGCATCAAGCTCTGTTGCCCACAGCTGTAGTTTAGTAACACATCCTTCATTGGCTGCCTTCCCTTCCTCACGACCACCAGTATTTCCCCGCACCTCCCAAATGGACCCCTCCCACACAAGGGCTGCTTCTGGGGGAAGGGAAAACAGGCAGAGAGGCTGTGACCATGGTCTGTGGTCACCCAGCCAGGAAGGGACTGAGTTGGGATTTGAACCTGAATCCTGCTGTCTCCCTTACAAAAAGTGTGGCGTGTGTAGTAAAGGGTCGTGGTGGTCTAAACCAGAAAGCACTTAACAGTAGAGGGCTTTGCAAATGCTCCAGAATTTCTGCGACCTTCCAGTGCCCTTTAGAAACTGTGACCTCCTACAGAATGGGGTGACTCCAGGCAGGATGGCCCCCAGGTAATATTTTCCTGGTACAAGAGAAGGTGTGTTGCTTTTTAATCCCAACTTTGAATGGCTCCAACACGTTCGACAGTTCTTTGAGGATGGCCGGTTCTTCCACTCAGGACAGGGCCTGCCATAGTGCCCAGCACCTGGACGCATGCGCACAGCACCCCAGCCCGTGCCCCCACCCCACCCCGCATGCGCACAGCATCCCCGCCCGTGCCCTCACCCCACCCCGCATGTGCACAAAAGCACCCCTGCCCGTGCCCTGCCCACACCCCGCCCGCTCACCCTGACCGGGAAGCTGCACGTGCCCTTGCGCACCGCGTCCTCGTCCGCCTGCCACTGGTGCGGGCGCGACGCTTCAGGCACGTAGGCTGGCTTCCGCCGGCGCAGGCTCTGTCGTAACTTGTTCATGGTGCCCGCCCCGTCTGGTGACACAGGACACGGGCGCGGGTCAAGGGCAGGGTCAGAGGCATGGGGCTCAAGAGGGACGAAGTCACTGCTCAGGGAGCACGGGGTCAGATAACATGGGAGTAGGGTTACAGGGTTAGGGGGTCACTGGGCAGAGGACATGACATTCAGGGAACATGGGTCAGCAGAAGTCAGGGGACACCAGGAAAGGGGGCAACAGGAGACAGGGGAGTGTGAGAGTCAGCAGTGGGGGTTCAGAAGACACAGGCTAAGGGGCATGGAGGTCTGGAATGGGGGTCTGAGTCACAGCTTTTAAGGGTCAGGAGATTGGGGATGCGACAGTCAAGAGGCATGAAGATCGGAAGTAATGGGAAGTCAAGGTATTGGGAGGCACCGGGATGGGGGTGGGGGGTTAGAAGGCATAGGGGTCAAGGGTCACGAGGTCAGAGGATGGGGTGGTCAGAGGGCAAAGGAGTTGGCAGTTGCATGGGTCAGATGTGGGGTGACTCAGAAGGTCCAGGGATTGAGGTACAGAGCCCAGGCCAGAGGGTGTGGGGAATGGGAGCTTGTCTCTGTGCCTCTGAGATACTGCCCCTCTGACAACAGTGTCTAGTGTAAGGCAGGGGCCCCTGGGGCGGTGTGTATCTGTGACCATCAGAGGTAGGGTGTGGGGGTGGTAGCCAGCCACTAAGACCGTCTTCACTGACTGATAAGCCATACTGACAGTCCCAGGAGGAGGGTGAAGGGACACCCAAGGCAGAGTACCAACAGCAGAGGGGCACTCTGTGTGTGTGCGCAAGCAAGTGTGCAGCTGGTGTGTTCCTGAATGGTGCCTGTGAGGGTGTCTAGATCTGAGCATGCAACTGTTGTCTGTGAGTGTATTTCTGAAGGCTGTATGGAAGGACGCGGGTCTGAGAATGGTTGTTTATGAGTGTGTGTCTGTGAATCCTGTCTGTGAGGGGGTCTGTGTCCAAGAGTGTGGTTATTGCCTGTGAGTATAGGTCCCTGGAAGTTGTTGTTGAAGGGTATCTATGTGTGAAAGTGGTTGTGAGTCTGTCAGGGAGTGTTGCCTGTGAGGATGTGTCTCTGTGTGAGCATGAAGCTGTGGTCTTTGAAAGAGTGTGTCCGTGACTGTTGTCTTTGAAGCTGTGTGTCTGTGTGAGGGCGTGGATTTTGTCTTTATGACTGTTGCCTATGGCATTGTGTCTGTGAGAGTTACCCAAGATACCATGTCTATGTCCAAGAGTGCAGCTGCTGGTGGTGAGGCTGTGTGTCTGAGGCTGTGTTTGTGAGGGTGTGTCTGTGTCAGAGCATGTGGCTATTATCAAACAGAGTTGAGTCCATGAGTGTTGTTCTGAGGGTGTGTCAGTATGCAACTGTGCATCTGTGAGGGTGTGTGAGAACAACCCAATGAGGTTGTTGTCTTTGAGAGTGTGTTCATGAGTGTTATTTGTGAGATGTGACTGTGTGAGAATGTGGCTGTTGTCTCTCAGAGTGCTCGGTATTTGTGAGACTGCCTCTGTGTGCAAAAGTCTAGCTCTTGGTGAGAGCATGGGTCCATGGGTACTGTCTGTGAGGCTGTGTCTGCTTGTGAAAGTATGGCTGTTGTCTGTAAAAGTGTGGGTATGTGCATGTTGTCTGGGAGACTGTGTCAGAGCGCATCCCTTGAGAGAGTGTATCTGAGTCTGTATCTGGTTAGCGTCTGTAGTTGCCTGTGTGAGGGAGTCTGGGTGTTGTCTGGGAATGCGTCTATATGTTTGTGTGACCCTGCACCTGTGAGTGTGGGGATGTCTGTGTGTGTCTGAACGTCTGAGTGTGTGTGTGACACAGTCTAGGTGTGTGTGTCTGTGACCGAGTCGGGCTTTGATGGTCTCTGAATGTGCAGGGAAGAGGTCTGAGGGTGTCCACTCATGAATGTGATTAGGCCTCTGTGACTGCAGGGACAGTTCCTCTGTCAGGTCGTGCTAGGCAGACCCACCCACCCCCTCAGCCCCTGCCCTGTCCCCAGGTGGTCACTCACCTGGCTCCGTCCTGGAGGTTTCTGGGGGCCCCAGGGCCCCACAGGGGGCTGGGGGCAGATGCTGCTCAGGCCTCCTGGGTCTGCCCTGCCCAAGGAAGAGAGGAGAAGGTAAGAAGAAGCGGGCGTGGGATGGGGCTCAGTCCCCTTACCTCACCCCCTCTTTGGACACCTGCCAACCCCCCTCCATCTCAGGCTCCCTGATGGGAACCCTGGTTGTCATAGCAACTGTTACTAGGGAGATGAGCCACCTGGTGCAAGGGCCCAGGAATGAGTAGGTGTGTTTGCGGGGCATTTGTTGGGGATGTCCTGGCCTCAGGAGGCCCTCAGTACCCAAGGGGATGGTGTGAGGAGGGCGTGACTTTGCCCTCTAGACACATGTCCAAGGATGCACCCAAACATACAGCCACATGTATACACGCACCTCATGTCTACAGTTGTCCCTAGCACCTGGTCACAGCTCTGTGCATTTAGTTACACAAAGACACAACCACAGCCACACACACCAGATCACGCAGATACACATAAACAGTCACAGCCACTGTAAACATCTGGTCACATATCTGTGTTCACAGACATACACAGTCTCCACTACGAACTTTTGTCCAATGCACGTAGAGTCCCAGCCTGCCTAGGCACTGCCACAAACACCTGCTCACATCAGTTGCTGATATATGGTCACTTCTGTTTTCTCAGCCACAAGAGCTGGGCCAAGGCACACCCACCAAAGGGGCAGAGGCACAGCCACACCAATGACAGTCATGTTTCCTCAGGCACCCACCCAAGATCCTCATGTCACACGACCACCCACATAGAATCACACCCAGTCAGAGGTCACCCATGAGCACTGAGTCACACACAGACACAATCACAGCACACACACTTGTCATACATAGCTCTATTCCTACATATTGACATCTTGTCATGGATGCATGCCGACATACTGACATACGTTTGGTCACACACAGCCACATCCAGTCACAGCCACGTGTGTTTGATCATCTACAGCACACTGCTACGCATGGACACTCAACCCCTTGTATCAGTCACGCCAGCGCACCTTCTTGGTCACACAGTCACACATGCCCAGTTGTAGGGGCACACATTTGGTCATGGTATGAGCCACACTCATGTGGACAGTCCTCCATACGCAATCACACACAGAGACACTGATGGCCATGGCCCAGGTGCTATAGAGAAACAGGCGGGCACACTCAAGACATGCTTACAGCCACCCAGAGACAGCTATCCCCAAGGACGGCCACACTCAGACACAGCTGGGCAGTTGGTGGTTCAGAGTCACAGCCACACACATTTCGGAAATGGTCGTGTGTGCAAAGTCACACAGCACCATTGTCCATATTACCCAGCCATTTATCACCGTCATAATACAGTCACCCAAGGTTCCATACCCAGCTATGCCATGTCATACCATCACAGAGAAACACTGTCTCTCTTCATGCAAGCACACAAGTCACACAGACAAGTATGTGGCCACACACAATCACAGCCCCATGAGGACTGACACATAATATCTCACACACAGAGACAGCAGCACACAATTTCCATTTTACACATCACAAGCACACTGTCAGGTGTACACTCAGAAAGGCAGTGACCCAGACATAGCATTTATAGCTGCGTTTACACAGAAGACACAGTTCCTGACAGAGCCATGTACACAGTCACCCTGTCACCAAATCACACAGTTTCAAACACAAGCAGTCCAGCACGCATGCAGACACACACACACCAAACAGCCACACAGCTAGACACACACACACACACACAGACCATGCCACAGACACAAGTACATGTAGTCACCCAGGGTCACAGACATGCAGGTCACACGCAAATATAGAAGCCACAGTCACATACACACACCCCCACAAACACACACAAGTTACCTGGTGCCACCACACAGACACACCTACAGCTTGAGTCACACACAATGAAATAACCTACTATTAATAGTCAGCCAGGGTTTTCGACTTCAAGTCAAACACATAACCCAAATCACACATATACAACTATAAATGCACACACTCACTCAGTGTCAACACAGAGCTAGATGCAGTCATTTATACAACCCAGGTCAAACACACAGATGTGGCTATGAACACACAACCACTGTCATACAAACATACAAGTCACAGTGCCACCACACTACCCCAGTCAGATAGGCACAGTGTGACTTCATGTACAATGGCAGTCACACACCCAGAGTTGCAGGGACATTGTGTGTCATATAGACACATGTGTGACACACATATAAAATCAGTTATAGACACAACCACAAACATTTGCAGTCATTGGAGAGTTGCACATGGACAGTCATAGACACAATTCCACTTACACATAGTCACAACTCCACCCACATCTTCAGTCAGCCACACACATGCCCAACCTCAGACTCAACACGTACACTGTCACATACCCAGTTAGAGTCATCAAGGCACACAAACACAGGGTCACAAAAGATGCAATCACAGACACAACCACACAGTCACAACCACGCACACACTCAAACACAGACAGACTAAACAGTACGAGGTTCTGCACAGTGAGCAGCTGTCACACATACTCACACAAATGCTGGGGTCACACACAGACACAATCACAAACACTACCAGACAGAACCACAAGCATGAAACACAGACACACAGCCACAGCCACAGCCACACAAACACGGGGCACACTCTTAGCCACCTGCCCATTGCTTGCTTCCCCTCTTCCCCCCAGGTACCACACACAAAGCCACCATCACGGCAGACAGACAGGCTGTACCCGGTCCCCGGGGAGCCGCCCCCCCGGGCCCAGCATGAATCCTGGAGTCTGGGGGGTCAGAACTGGGAGAGGGAGGCGGTGCATTGTCTGCGGGTGGGGCCGCTCCCAGACAGCTGGGCAGCCCCAGGGACAAAGGGGGTGGCCCAGGGGACCTGTACCCTGGAACCCTTGACCAAGCCTTGGGGGGGGAGGGTGCCTGAAATTTCCCTTATTTTATTCAGGCTGGGGAGGGGGTGGAGTCCCAGGCACAGGGACCCTGTTTTGAAAAGGGTCTATTCCTGGGACACCGCCCAAGGATTGGGGGGATGCTGTGCTCAGGGCGCCTCTGAGGCCTGGGGACAGGCTGTGCCTAGAATCCCACCCCCCCCCCTTTGCTTGGTGGGGAAGCTGTGCCCAGGGACCCCATCCTCAAGACCTTGCCCAGAGGGTTGTCGTGCTCAGAGACCCCCTCGGGCAGGGAGGGGTAGGGATTGCGTCTGGTCTGGAGTCGCCTCCCGGAGGCCTTGGCTTGCTACGGGGGTTGTGTCTCGGACCCATCCCCAAAACCTTGCCTAGGGAGTTGTACCTAGAACCTGTCCCCGTCCTTGATTTTTTTGAGGGGAGAGGTCTGTGTCCAGGATCCCTATCTCTAGGGCCTTGGCAAGAGAGGGCCTGTGCGCGAGACCCCTATCTCCCAAGCTTTGGCTTGGTGGGGGCCTGTCCTTGAACCCCCACCCAGGACCACCAGAACCCCCACCTCCCCAGCCTTCGCACCCTCTCTCCATCCGGGCGCCGCGGCCGCCTCCCACCCTCCGCCACATCAGCAGCGGCGCCGCCCCCCACCCGAGCCCCCCTCTCCCGCCCTTCTCACGCTGGCCGCTGCGCTGCGGGACATCCAGGGCCCGGGCGCCCCCGCCTCCCGCGGCCCCGGCTGGGCCCGGATCCCCGAGCGCTGCTGCTGCTGTGGCGGCGGCGGCGGCGCCAGCTCAGTCTGACGCGGGCCGGGGCCGGGGGCCGGGGAATGGTGCGGGATGCACGCGCGCGAGCCTGCTCGGCTCCCGGGAGGATTCCGCTCCGGGGGCGGGGGAGCGCCCCTCCCGCCTCGGCTCCCCGCCCCAGCCCCGCCCATTGGTCCGCCGCCTGCTGGATATGCAAAAAGGCCCCGCCCCAGCCCGGCGCATCGCAGGCTCAAGCCCCGCCCCCTCCGCAGGCCGCGCCCAAGCACAAATATGACCCCGCCTTCCCTGGTGCGGCCACCGCCCCGCCACGCCCATTGGCCAGTGGCTGCCTGAGCATGCATATGAGCCTCGTCGAGACCTGCCCCCAGGTCCATCCAGGCTTGGGCTCCGTTCCCTTCCGTGACCCTTGACCTCAGATCCCCTTCTGTTCCGCGTCCGAAAGAGTTGCTTCGGGTGGCGCCGTGCCGCCCCACACCCCCAAAATGTTCCAGCTAACCCCACGGTTCTCCCAGCCCAGCGGGGGCGGGCAGAAGCGGTGACGAGGCACTTTTTGCAAGGAAGGGGAGGGGGAATGCACAGACCCCGGCGTCCTGGTGCGCGAACGGGTCGGCTTTGGGGGCGGGGGCGCCAGGCTGGGACCAGGGCGCGGTTCTGCCTGCAGCTGCGCCCCCGCTCCCGCCCAGTGCTGTGGGTTTGGCAAAGCAGCTGGCAGGGGCATTAAGGCCCATTAGCAAAGGCGAGGTTGCTGGGAGCCGAGGAGAGGGAGCCCGGTGCCTGGGAGGTGGTGTGGGTTGCGGGGAGGCCTTCTCAGCTGCTGCAGCCTTTCGAGCAGGTGGTCAGCACGTGCGGGAGGGGCGAGAGGGGGGGTGGGAGGGAAAGGGGAGAAGAAGGTTCCCGGCAACAGATGGCCCAGGCAGGGCTGGGCTTTCAGACAAGAGGATGGGAGGGGGCTAGCCATCTGCACCTGGAGGCAGCCCGCGAGCTCCTCCCCCTCCCCCCCAGCGCAGAGAAAAGAGCTGGGGGACGGGGAGGGCCGCTTTTATTCGGACTGAAGGTTCAAACCGCCCCCCTTACCCCTCCCCAACATAGGATGGAACGGGGAGAAGGCAGCTGGTGGAGGGGTGAGGGAGGCAAAGGTGAGGGCTGCCTCTGCCAACCACCACCCCCCTCCACTGGCCAGGCCCGAGGGAGACCTGAGGCAGAGGGGAGGGGAGCCCCCTCTAAATGAGTCTGGATTTCCACGATGGCTGCCAGGGGCCTAAGGCTCTCTCAAATGTTGGCAGAAATAAATTAATCTCTGGCGTAGAGTTCCTGGGTGCAGACAATATGGGGCCATGAAGGGGAGTTCCCTAGCCCCAGGGCTCATCAGCCCCCAGGGAAGGGAGCTAGGCTAGGCAAGACCGGGCTGTCCAAGGGGGAGGGTCCCCAGACCTGGAGCAGAGTGAGAAGGAGGCATTCAGAGCAGGGGATGGCCTGCTGGGGGGCCAGAATCCCAGGATGGAGTCTCTCTGAGGGGGTCTGACCAGACGTTCCTCTGGTCAGGAGGCTGCGGGCAATGGCTATGCCTGGCGACTGGCCCAGTAGCGGTGGTAGGTGTCCTGGAAGAGGTCCCGGCAGGCGATGTGGGCACGGAGGCGGGCGCAGGCCAGGAAAGCCCCTGCCAGCTTGCGGTGCAGGGCATAGGTCTCCTCAGGTGGGGGGCGCAGCCGGTGCTGCAGCAGCACGGGGATGAGACCCTGCACACGGCGGGCAGTGTCACCTGCCCCAAAGTCGTAGGGGCCCTGGGTGGCGAAGGGCTCCCCCAGAATCATCACCGCCTCCACGTGGGCATCTGAGAATGCCTAGGGGTGGGGGAGAGCAGAGGTACCCGGTTACAGCCCTCCACTTACCCGGAAGGGACAAGTAGCCCTCAACTCCCTCAGGGTCTCAAGTGCATAAACACAAGCCACTGACTCCTCGACGAGTAATAAGCAGCCTCCACTCCTTGCAGAGCCCCTAGGAGACCAGCAGCCCCCACTCCCAAAAGACATGGTCCTTCACTTCCTCTCAGAGCCTCCAACAGACAAGCGGCCCTCACTTGCTCTAGAACAGAGAAGCAGCCTCCATTTCCCGACCCCCAGTACCCACCAGCAGCCCCTTCCCCCCTCCCCCTAGAATAGAGAAGTGGTGCCCATTTTCCCAGGGATCCTGAGTAGCCAAGCAGCCCCCATTCCCCCCACTCTCCCCAGAGCCCCCCCTGCTATACATAAGCAGCACCCTAGACTTCCCCACTCCCCCAGAGCTCCCCCAGTAGAGATAACCAGCTCCCCACTTCTCCCCAGTGGACACCAGCCTCTATTCCCCCAGTGTCTCCCAACCTTGGTTTCGAAGCCTGTGAGGAATTTGAGATCCCGGGATTTCTGCAGGACCCGGTCTCTGTCTCCGTTGGCTGCCGCCATCACCACCTGGGGAGATGGGTGTCGGGCAGAGGGTCAAAGGCCAAGGGCAAGCTAGCAAGCAAGCAGGGTTCAAGGAAGGGTCTGGAGATGGGAGCTAGAAGCCTGGGCCCCCCCCCGACCCACTTCCATTCTCATCAACCCAAGCCTCTCACTAGAAGCCTCTCCCTCCTCACCCTGCCCCTCTGTCTCCCTCAAAACTTCCAGAGCCTGGGGGGTGGGGGTGGTCAGGGGTTCTGCCCACCTGGCTGGGAACGCTGAGCCTGCCTGGAAACTGCCACAGGGAAACAGCAGAAGAAAATAAATGTCACGTGGTGCTCATGGGTCCAAACACTCAACTGGACAAGGATGTGTCCGTGACCCAGAACTGCATCCGAGGTTGCCCTGGGCCATCTCTATGATGTCTGTGGATGTCTGTCTCCTGCACCGGACGTGGAGCCCCGAGAGAGCAGGGATCCTGGTTGGGTTTGGTTCCACAGGGCACAGGCTCTGGCACGCAGGCCTCTGGTGAACGTTTGCGTAGCAAATCAGTGTGCAGAGCTGAGCACCTCTCCGGCCACGAGTGCACGTGGGGAGGGCAGGAAGTGAGGGCATACGGACGGACAGACAGACAGAAGCGGAAGCCAGCCTGCCTGGGCTCTATCCCAGCTCTGCCACTTGCTGGCTGGGAGACTCTGGGCAAGTCGCTTTGTCTGGGGCCTCTGCTTTCCCCTCTGTGAAGTGGGGATGAGGAAAGTCTCCTCCTCAGGGGGTTGTTGGGAGGATAAAGGAGGTGATATCTGTGGAGTATTTAGCCCTGTGCCTGCATGTAGGAAGCGCCATAAATATTATGAGCTACTGTTATTATCAAGAGGTAGATATGAGGGTCCCCACTTCACAGAAGAGGAAGGTGGCTCAAGGTGGGGGATAGCGAGGCGAGGAGTGGAGTCGGGGCAAACCCTTAGCCACCAGTTGCCCTTTCGTGGGAGGAAGGGGATATAGGATTAAATCTGGCCGTTCTCTTCTGTCTCAGCAGCCCCTGCCCGAGCCTGTCTGGCCATCTGTCAGGGCTGTGGTCCTCAGGGGCCTGTGTGACAGGGATTTTTTAAACTGGAAAAGGCTGGGGAGACGGGAGGAGGGCCTGGGGGTGGGAGGGGGGCACAAGATGTCCCAACTACTCAGAAAGACAGGCCTTGGCTTTGTGTCTCAAGTGGCCTGCAGAGAGGGCCGCGAGGGGCGTGTGTGTGTGTGTGTGTGTGTGTGTGTGTGTGTGTGTGTGTGTGTGGTGGGGGAGTGGGGGATTACCAGCTCCTCCTTCCTGTCCACATCCCAGGGGTGGCCCCACCATCCCCTGGTCCCCAAGCCAGAGCCCCGGGCCTTGTCCCCAACCCCTCTCTTCCCCTCCCCACAGCCTGCTGGGGCTCCCAGCCCCTAGTCTTAAAGACCACTTAGTATTCAGAGGGAATTTTCTAATTCTGACCATGTCGCTCGCCTCCCCTGCTCAAATCCCTCCCATGGCTCCCCACGGCACCCCGATGAAGGACACGCTGCAAAGCACGGCTTCTAAGACCCACAGTGATTTGGCTCCAGCCTCATCGCTGGCTCCCGCTCCTCCCCCACCTGCCAGCCCAGTCAGAACACTGAACCTGCTTTTGGTCCTCTAGGACCTTACCACAGCCATGCGGCACACCATGACATTTCAGACATTTCAACCAACCCTGGACTGCATATACGACGGTGGCCCCATAAGATTAGTACCATAGAATCTAGGTGTGTAGTGGGCTGTACCATCTAGGTTTGTGTGAGTACACTCTGATGTTGCACAACGGCAAAATCGCCTAAGGTCACATTTCTCAGAATGCGTCCCGTCGTTAAGCGACGTATGACTGTACCCAGGTCCCTGTACAAGTAGCCTTGGCATCACCTTGGAGTGTGTTAGTAATGCAGCATTTTGTGCCTAACTCCAGACAAGAATCTGCATTTTGACAGGATCATGGAGGGGGATGTTTCTCACACTCATTAAAGTTTGAGAATTGCTGTTTTAATGGGACTACCCCTTCTTGCCTCTTGGCCCTTGCACATGTTATCTGTCTGGAATACCCTCCCAGCCTCTTCCTGACTGGTGTCCTCATCCCTCAGGTCTCCACTCTGACGTCTCCTCCTCCAGGAAGCTCTCCCTGACCCTCTGGGCTGGGCCAGGCTCCTCCTCTGGGCTCCCAGAGTCCCCTGTGCTTCCCCATCCCAGCCCTGACCACTCTGGGTCCTTACTATCTGTCCCCCTACTGGTCTGCGAGCTCTGTGAAGGCAGGGACCTGGGGTGGATTGATCACTGTTGTCCCCAGTATCGCCCAGAATAGGGCTGGGCACAGAGGGGTGTCAGAGAAGGTCTGAATTGACTAAACGATTAGAAGACCCAGGTCGAATGTCCAGTCTCAACAAATTAATGAGATGGTGTTGTCTGCCCCTCTGACACAGATCAATCCCTGTGGGTGGGATGGACAGGCAACATCAATGAGGAACACTTCCTGAGGAGAGAGCTGCCCCCACGGAGCAGCCTGCCAGGGAGGATGTGAGCACAAGGCTGGACAGCAAGGGCCTGGACAGCGTGGGTGTGCAGGGGTAACAGGATGGCCGTCGTGGGCCTTTCTATCAGGAAGGGGCTCGTCAGGGGTTGGGAGCATGGGCTCTGGACGCAGACTGCCTGAGTTTGAATCCCAGGTCTGCTGTGATCTTGGGCAAGTGAATTAACCTCTCTGAGCCCACTTACTTCATCTGTAAAATGGGGCTAAAAATGGTCCTTACCCCACAGAGTTGCTGTATGGTTCAGATCACGTACCACAGGTACAGCACGTAAAACAGTGCCTGACATAATATTAAGTGCTTGGTATTTGTTGGCTATTAATATTACTATTACTTATTATTTCTTAATTCCAGATAGTATATTTCTCCTTCTCACCCTTGCCTCAGTATCTGGCTTGAGGCTCGGCCCTTCAGAGACCCCAGGGTTGGGGGGACTCACCTCGATGTAATGATCTGTGAATTCAGTTCCAAATTCCCGGCTTGCACCGAAGTCCAGCAGGGTCACCTGGAATCGAGGGATGGTGAAAGGGACGCTGGGAGTCCACCAACACTCCCCATTGTGTCCAGGGGTGGGCAGAGTCCATCCCTCCCTCCCCTCACTGCCCCTGCTGCTGGAGTCCCTGCCCAGCTGCCTCCCTGGGCTTCTGGCCTCCTGTCTCCACACTTCCCATCCACCCCTACAGGAAGCTGAAGGGACCTGGCTTTTATTTTTTTGGTCCTAATTATTTTTATCACAATATGTTTTAGGCACGGAAAATAATCCAGAGAATAATAAAATAATGGAAACGTAAAATGATCACCCACCAATCCCACCACCCAGCTGAAAATATAAAACCACCAATCCAAGTGGGGCCTCTTGTGTACCCCAGCCTGAACCCACCTCCCCCACGTCCCCATGCTCTCTTCCAGGGTCCCCACTTTCCTGAAATTATTATTAAATTATGATTTCCTGAAATTCCTAGGTGTGCGTTTCTACATTTTCTACATATGTGTGCACCCATGAACCATATAATGTTTTGCGTATTCTAAAACTTCATATAAATGGTATTTATTTATTTTTATTATTATTTTTGTGTGTGTGTGTGTGAGGAAGATCAGCCCTGAGCTAACAACTGTTGCCAATCGTCCTCTTTTTCCTGAGGAAGATTGTCCCTGGGCTAATATCCGTGTCCATCTTCCTCTACTTTATATGGGACGCCGCCACAGCATGGCTTGACAAGCAGTGCATCGGTCTGTGCCCGGGATCCGAACCTGTGAACCCCGGGCCACCGAAGCGGAGTGGGCAAACTTAACTGCTGTGCCACTAGGCCGGCCCCTAAATGCTATTTATGATGGTTACCCTGCAACTTGTTCTTTGTGCCCATCATGGTTTTGCAATTTATTCCATTGCCACATGCAGTTCTAGCTCATTCATTTTTCACTGCTGTATGAGGACTTCGTTGTGTGACTAATCACAGTGAATTTACCTGGTTGATGGACATGGTGGGTGTTTCTGGGTTTTGCTGTTAAAGACAGTGCTCGATGAACACACATGTAAGAGTTTCTCTAGGGCAGTGAGTTCAAACAATTGATCACAACCCATAGTAAGAAATACAGATTATACTGGGCGCCAGTGCTCATGCACACATAAATGTAAATATCAGACAAAAGTGTCCTGAAATAATATGGATCCCTCCCATCTGCGACACAGTGATGTTTTCTACTCTATGCCGTTAAAACAAAAAATGCTGTTGTGACCCAATTAATCCATGTCAGGAGGACTCGTATCACCCCCCCGAGTTAGAAAAGCACCTCCCTGGGGTATAAGCCTAAGAGGGGATGCAGGGTGCGTGTGTAGTTGGGGGACAGGGGGGAGAAGGGACCGAGGCTGGAGACTTGGTGGGGCTACATCACACTCAGCAAAGGGTCACGCTTGATCCTGAGGGTGCTGGGGAGCTGTGCAAGGGACAGCTTTGCCAGATTTGTGTCTGGGGACTCACTGGGTACACACCACTTTGACAGCCGTGTGGCGACCACACACTGAGAGTCTTTCCGTCCAGACGCTCACCCCAGGCCTCTGGACACCCTGTATCCTTGGCCGGGAACTCTCTTCCCTGCTCTTTAGATGGCTGTACCCTTCTCAGATTTCTGATTTCAGCTCTAATGGCTCTTCCTTCAAGAAACCTTCCTTGATCTCCAGCCCCCCAGGCCAGGTCAGCTACTTTCCTTGGCTCCCCACAACCCCCTGTGCTTCCCCCATCACTGCCCACTCTGGCCTGGGCCTCTACACGGTGGGCCTGACTACTCTAGGTCATCACTGTCTGGTGACTGGTCCTCCTACTGGACGGAGAACTCTGAGAAGGCGAGGATCAGGGATGTCTTGTCATCGCTGTCAAGAGACAGACAGTGGGTGGTTGGTGTGCTTTAAATGAAGGACAAGTGTGGTAGTCGTGACTGACTGCCCTCCAAACGTTGTGCTCCCTCTTCTATGTTGTCACATTGCCACTAGGAAGCCACTGCCTAGCCAAGGACTCCATTTCCCAGCATCCCTTGCACCTAGACAAGCCATGTGACCAGTACTCACCAATGGAATGGTAAAGGGAATTATGTGCCACTTCTGGCCAAGGCCATTAGGCAGGGGGTTACCTTCTCAGCCTCTCGTTCCCCTCCCACCGGAAGCAGGGCATTGCAAGGCGCAGGGGATGACAGAATCAGAGAAGGGAAGGAGCCTGGGTTCCTGAATCACTGTGTGGAGGAGGGCCACCCCAGCCTGTTTTGGGGGTAATAAACTACCATTGTGTTGAGCTACTGAACTATCAGGAAATATTTCTCACAGCAGCTAATGTACCCTGGCACACATCACAAGGCACCAACCTGGTGGCTGGAGGCATCGTACAGGAAGTTGGCCCAGTTGGGGTCCGTCTGCATGAATCGGAACTCAAACAGCTCCCGCAGACACAGCCTCAGGAGCTGGAAGCAAATCTGGCGTGGGGAGAAGGAGTAACAGACACCTCAGAGTGACCTCCCCCTCTAAAGCTCTCTCTGGCCTGCAGAGGGACCACGGGTCAGGCTGACCCTGCCAGCCCTGCCCTGTCCAGCACCCTTCCTTCTGTCCCACAAGACCATGTACCTGGTTCCGAATGTCCTGGCTCAGGCCCTGGCACTGGTCCAGGGGCACCCCTCCGGCCAGCTCCATGCCCAGCACCCGCGTTGTGCATAACTCCTTAATCACAGCTGGCACCCGGAAGAAGGGGTCATCTGCCAACAGCTGCCTGAGGCAAGAGAGGGGAGGGGATGAGACTTCAAGCTTCAGGCTCCTGTAGCCCAGCTGGAGGCCTCCTCCTCCTCCTCTGAGAAGTCCTCCATGAATGGCCTATGTCTTGCCTTCCCTCTTGCCCTGCTCTTGTTTCTTCTGCTCTGAGTGATGGCCAACCCGGCTGGACTGACCTTAATTCAGACATTTCACTCATTCATTCAGCAAATATCTCCGCAGCACCAACTCTGTACCTGCCCCTAAGCTGGGTGCTACTGGAGACCCAGTTACCACTTCCCTACTGGAAACACTTCTGTGACTTCTGGCTGTCCCAAGATGAGCTCAATGTATTTAGCTCGATGACCATTACTTTTTCATCAACTCATTAATTAATCCATCCACAAAATGGTCCCTGATATAAAAATCTCTGAGTCCACAGTGATACTCACTGCTCACTCTGTGAATTCGCTGGTTAATAAAGGGAGAGCATCCCTCTCGGTCTCCGTCCCTGCACTGGTCAATGCCGGGGGCAGAGCGGCAGAGGAGCTGCGGGTCTGCCCACCACACACACCAGAGACCACACTCTCACAAACAAACAGACCAATCATAGATTGAGACGAGTGTGTCAGTGTAAGATTTGGGAGGCAAAGAATACGCGAGTGGCCTGTGGTTGGGGATTTGTGGGATGGCTCGAGTGGGTGAGGAGCAGGGAGATGGGGAGGGGCCAGGGGGATGATGTAGGCTTCATTCTAAGGGCACTGGGGGGAGGGTCTCCCCAGACCCACACAGACTGCTCTGGCCCAGCCCACTTTGCACGCTCCTCCTCAAGGTCTTGCTTCCTTCGGGGCTTGTATTTTTGTCCTTGTTTATAAAATCTTTGATTTTGAACTGCTCCTCATGGGCCAGGCCCTGTGCTAAGCATTTAATCAGCACAATTCCCTTTTATCCTCACTTCCCTAGGAGAGGTTACCCTCCCGAAGCCACTAGGCAGATTCAGGCCACCGAGCCTGTGAAGGGCTGACCCAGGACTGTTTCCCACATCACTCACATCTGAGTCCAGGGCCCATGCCCCTAACCACTGCCTCTACTGCCCTTTCTCTCACTCTGTTATCTATTGAGCTTAGCGCAATAAACGTGTGGGCCACACTGTGGAGGATCTCAATGAGGTGTAATTAATTGCTGCATATCACGATGCTTCTAAGACACAACCACATTGCTCCCTGAAGCTGTACTTCATTCATTTTCGCTGCTGTATGATATTCCACTGATGAATATGCCATAATTTATTTATCCACTCTGCGGGATGAATTTGGTAGATTTGGTTGTTTCCAATTTGGGGCTATTGCTGCTCTGAGCATTCTGGAAAAGTCTGATGGTGTCTACTGGTGTAAGTGTCCCTAGAGCATTTACCAAGGAGGACAACTGTTGGTATGTATGTGAATATCGAGGCTTGATGATGCCAAACTCTTCTCCACAATGCTTATATCAATTTCTCCTTCTGCCCACATTGTATAGGGACACCCTGGAGCCCCGTTCTCTCCAACTCTTGGCACTGTGAGCCTGCTTCATCTTTGTCAGTATCTCACTGTGATTAAGTGCCTGCTGACAAGTCCGTCTGCCCCATCAGACTGCAGTGGTTATGTGCTCCATTCGACAGATGAGAAAACTGACAAAGAGAGGACGTGATCCGGCCAAGTCCCCAGAGGACACGGGTAAATGAAGTAACGAGTGAAGAGATGGATGGATGAACAAATGAAGGAAAAGAGTGTGCCACCCCCACCCCAGGGCTCCAGCTGCCAGAGGGTGTGGGGCATCCACTTCCTCCTCATCCAGGAGGGAAGCTGGAGGGAAGGGGTCTTCCAGGGGCCTGCGGGGGGCTCAGCTCACCTGAAGTTCTGGGCACAAGCTGCCTCCCGACGGTAGTCACACTCCCAAGCGAGCTCCTGCTGCAGGGCCTGCAGGCTCTGCTCGGCAAACAGGCCTGAGGGGGGCAGTGTGTCAGCCAGGGAAGGCCACAGCCTGTCCCCTCCGCCCGTGCCCGACCCCTCAGGGGTCATGATCGTGCCAATCGTGGGTCTTACTCTCTGTCTCTGTCTTGCTGTCCCTCACACCTTCTGCTCCATGCCTGTTACCTGCAATGCCTGCCCACACGCTTCCCCTCTGTCCTTCATACAACTGCAGACTCCTCTGAAGCCCCTCTCCTGGGGTCTGTCTCTTCCACAGGCGCCACACCAGCCCTAGGCATCTCTCTCATAGTCACACATGCCACCTACCCTGTCTCTTTTTCATACCGCCTCTCTCACACCGCTCTCTGCCTCTGAGTCTTCTAGGCTTGCCTCTCTCTCTCTCTCTGTGTCTCTCTCTCACACATACACCCTGCTCCGTCTTCTCCAGGCGCTTTCTCACGTGCTGTAACACAAACATGAGGTCCCACTTACACTCCCTTCCTGCTTCTGTGGCTCTTTTTTGCACCTGCAGTCCCTCTGTGTGTCTGTTTCTGGATTTTGGTCTGGGCTTCTGTCTCTCTGTTAGAATCTCTAGTTTGTCTTTTTCTCACACCTTCCTACTCTCTGGGCTCTCCCCGCTTGATGTCCCTTCTTTCTGTCTCAAACATACACACTTACACATTCACTCACACTCACACACACAGGCACGCCCTGCCTCGAGCTGGCTGCTTTCCCTCCATCCAGCCCCTTTCTCTCTTCGGGGCATCCCTCCTGCAGTCAGGGGTGGAGTGGGCGCCTCACCCTCCGGCAGGGCCACGCTCAGCTTAAGCACCGCCAGCAGGTTCTGCACGTCGCTCTGGATGCTCTGGGCCACGCCTGGATACTGCGAGGGATGAAGGGAGGGAGGGGGAGTCACTCCTCTGGGACAGCAGGGTGCCCACCCCCACCCCCAGCCTGCCTCCCCTCTCACCTGGATCTTCACGGCCACCTCTGTGCCGTCCCTCAGCAGGCCCTGGTGCACCTGCCCGATTGAGGCAGCAGCAAAGGGCACCTCCTCCAAGGAGGCCACCTTGGCCTGCCAGTCCCTGCCGAGCTCTTCCTCGAGAACTCTCTGTGGAGAGTGGATGTAACAATCGTGATCATGGTTACAGGCAGCTGAGTTCACTCCCTGTGCTGAGCGCTTCACATGTTAATAACCCCACTCACCACACACTGGGCCCTGGGCTAAGCTCTTGGCTGCCACTCCATTTTACAGATGAGGAAACTGAGGCTCAGAGAGCAGTCTCTTGGCCAAGGTGATGAGCCAGGTGCTGGCAGACTGGGAGGTCCAGCCTGAGCCTGTACTCCTGAGGCTGTGCGGGCTGCTGTGGGGATTACTATCATGTATAGTTAAGATGGATAATAATCCTTCATTATACTCATACATTGTATTATTAACTCAAAGTTAATGTGATAAAGAAGAGCTGAAATTTACAGATGGCCTCCTGTGGACCGGGTCCTGTTCAGAGTGGCTCAGAGAGGGGCAGTAATTACCCAGGGTCGCACGGCGAGTAAGCAGAACAGAGATCAGAAGGCAGGCAGGCGGCTGGACCAGATTCCACACCCTCACCCAGTTATTAGAAGAACAGCTCATGTCTTGGGCACTTACTCAGTGCCAGGCGCTGCGCCAACCTATTTACAGACATGATCTCCTTTAATTACAAAACCAGTAATAATAACAGCTAAAACTTTCATATCCCCCACGGTGTGTCAGGGGTCCTTCTAAGTGCTTTCCATATACTAATTTATGTAACCCTGTGATGTGGGTGTTGCTATCACTATCAACACTTCACAGATGAGGTAATTGAGGCACAGAGAGGTCAGGCCGCATGTCTGAGATCACACAGGTAGTAAGTGGCAGAGCCAGGGTTTGAACTAATGGAGTCTGGCCCCTAACCACTGCCCTTCACTGCCTCTTTAACAGCCCTGACAGAGCCCTGAGCCTGCCAGGGACTGGACTAAGCAGTCTGCACCATTCTCTCATTTAATCATCACAACACTCCCATGAGATGTGTGCTTTAGTGACCCCCATTTCACAGATGAGGAAACTGAGGCTCGGAGTCAGACAGGGAGTAGAGCAATGAAGCTAGGAGGCTCAGGCAGGTAGAGCACGCCTCCCTGGCCAGCCTTGCCCCGCCGGGCACTCACCAGCATCTGCCAGCGGGGCATGAAGTCGGCACTCTGGCGGACCCGCTCAAAGATGCGCTGCAGCTGGGGGCTGATGAAGCTGTTGTCTTGGGAGACAGCGGGACAAGGGAAACAGTGAGGGAGGAGGCGAGGAGGGCCCCTGTGGGAGTACCTGAAGTCGGGGCTTGTTGGTGGGTGGGGTGGGATAGAAGGGAGGTCAGGGGTCAGGAGTCGAGGGTCATGCTGTACCCTGGATGCTGAGCATTTGGCCAACCTTGAGGGCGGCCCCTCGAACTGTACACAAGGTCTGCACAATCCGCTCGGCATTGGCCTCCGACAGGAAAGGGCTGGAGCCTGGCCGGGAGCTGCTCTCTGGGGTGGAGAGAATAATCACCAGTATTACAACCACAAAAATAATCACGATACCACCACTGCACACCCACTAGAATGGCTAAAATGAAAAAGACGATACCAAGTGTTGGCAAAGATACGGAGCAGCCTGAATGCCAAAACTGCTGATGAGAACGTCAGTCATGGCACAAGCCCTTTGGAAGACAGTTGGGGAGTTTCTATTAAAGCACACATCTATACCCGATGCAATTTCTCTCCTATGTTTATAAAGAGAAATGCATAAATGTGTCCACTGACAGATACTCCAAGAAGGTTCGTGGCAGCACTATTTGTAAGAGCCTCAAACTGGAAATAACCCAAATGACCATCAATAGAATGAACAAAAGAATTGTGGAATAGTCACAGAGCGGCTACGACAGTATTGCACAAACAACCTACGTCTACTCACAGCAACATGGGTGCATCTCTCAAACAGAATGTTGGGCCAAAGAAGCCAGACGCACACGAGAATAAATTGTCCAATTACATTGGCGTAAAGAGCAAAAACAGGCGAAACTAATTCCGCAGGTCAGAAGCCAGGACAGCGGTTACCCTTGGTGAGGGGAGTGGCCAGGACGGGGCATGAGAGGAGCTTCTGGAGAACCAGGGCAGCCATTCTCAAAGCGTGGTCCGGGGAGCCCTGAGGGTCCCTGAGAACCTTCAGGAGGGTCTGTGAGATCAAAACTATTTTCATAACAATATTAATATGTTATTTGCCCTTTTTTACTCTCATCCTTCCACAGATGTTCAGTGGAGTTTTCCAGGAGCTCCACGACCTGTAATGATGTCATTGCTGACAGCTGATAGAATGTGTGTGTATATTGTTGTGTTTTAAAAATTTCTCAGTTTTAATCTCTAATACAGTAAATATCCATAAATGTAGGCCACATAAATAAGCTCTTTGGGGTCTTCATTACAGTTTTTAATAGCTTTATTGAGATATAATTCACATACCATATAATTCACCCATAGAGTTCAATGGCTTCTAGTATATTCAGAATTGTGCAACTATCACCACAACCCACTTGAGAACATTTTCATCACCCCCAAAATAAACCCCGTACCTATTTGCAGTCAATCCCCCATTCCCCCAACTACCTCCCTGGGAGCCCCTGGAAACCATTAATCTACTTTCTGTCTCTATAGATTTCCCTCTTCTGGAATCATACAATATGTGGCCTTTTGTGTCTGGCTTCTTTCACTTAAGATAATGTTTCCAAGATTCATCCACATTGTAGCGTGGATCTTCATTCCTTTTGATGGCTCAATAATATCCACATTTTGTTTATCGATTACTCAGTTTTAAGGGTGTGCAGGGATCCTGAGACCAAAAAGTTTGAGAACTGCTGTTCCAGGTTTTGTGTGTGTGTGTGTGTGTGTGTGTGTGTGTGTGTGTGGAAGATCAGCCCTGAGCTAACATCCGTGCTAATCCTCCTCTTTTTGCTGAGGAAGACCGGCTCTGAGCTAACATCTATTGCCAATCCTCCTCCTTTTTTTTGTTTTTTTCCCCCAAAGCCACAGTAGATAGTTGTATGTCATAGTTGCACATCCTTCTAGTTGCTGTATGTGGGACGCGGCCTCAGCATGGCTGGAGAAGCAGTGCGTCGGTGCGCACCTGGGATCCAAACCCGGGCCACCAGCAGCGGAGCCCGTGCTTAACCGCTAAGCCACCAGGCCGGCCTCAGGGTTTCTTGATTTGGGTGCACAGATGCATCCACTTTGTGAAAATGAACCAAGCTGTATGCTTATGATATGTGCATGGTTCCATATGAAAATTATCTTATTATTCAACAAAGTGTTTATTAAGCTAAAAAATTTACTGAGCTCTTTATTGAGGCTCACCCTGTGCCAGGCAGAATTCTAAGTGTCTCTGTGGATGCTCTGGCTGAATCCCCACAATCAGCCCAGGAAGTGAGAACCACCAATGCTTTAATTTCCAAGGTGAGGAAGCAAGAGATTCAGAGAGGTACAGTGCCTGGCCCTGGGTCACACAGCACAGAAGTGGTGGAGCAGGGTGTAGACTCAGTTTGTAGACTCAGCTTAATCCTCCACCTACCTCCAACTTTTTATTTTGAAAAAAATCCAGACAGAAAAGTTGCACGCATAGTCTCATGAACACCAGCACATTCGACTCAACATTTTAACATTGTCTCATCTGCTTTATCTGTGTGTGAACCCAAACACATACCATTATTTTTTGCTCACCCATTTGCATGTAGATGCACTCAAGCCGTGCTAAGAATAAGGCTATTCCCCTACACAATTCCAGGGCCGCAATTATACCTAAGAAAATTAACACTAAATCTCTGATTTCTACTATCTAGTCCATATTCAGACTTTCCCAATTGTCCCCAAAAGTCTTTTATAGTTATTTTTTTCAAACTGATATCCAATCATGGTTCACACATTCCACTTGTAAGTTATTATCTCTTAAGTCTCCTTTTAATCTAGAATATCCACCCCAAGTTTGTTTCAAGATGCTGTCTTGTTGGGGAATCTTACCCACAAACGCTGATCTCTATGCATCTCCTTCCATCTCAGTACACACACCCCACTGGCACTCCTGTTCTCAGCTTCCCTCTCCTGCTCAGAGTTAGGATCTCAATTCCCCATGGCTTAAATTTTTTTCTCACGTAATATGCTCCTACCTCTCAGGACCCTGACAGCAGCTTCACTCCGTTCTGAGCACTTCACAATGATCCTAAGGAGTGGGTATATTATCATCACCTCCATTTTCCAGAGGAGGAGACTGGGGCTCTGAGAGGTGAAGCCACTGGCCCCAGGTCACACAGCAAGGCCAATGTGGGTCACTCACCTGACTGTCGATGTCCTCCTGGCAGAGACTTCTTGGCCACCTCAGCCAGTGCTCCCAGCCCCAAGCCCACAGCCAGTCCTGGGGAGGGAGACAGGAGCCTGAGTGCCCATTGCCCAGGGCGTTCCCCCTCCGACCCTCTCTCAGTCTCTCTCTAAGCACACTTGTTTCCTATCTCTTTGTTGCCAACTCTCGACATCTCTCTGTCCCCAACTCAGCCTCTTACTCTTTCCCTGCTTGGGCTTCCCTCCAAGGTGAGGCCACCTCTTTTTCTATCCCTCTCTCCATGTCTCTGTCTCCCATGTCAGCAGTTCTCACCCCTGGCTGCACATCTGAGTCACGTGAGGAGCTTTCGTTAATATGATGCCCAGGCCTCACTGCTCAGGTTCTGATAAAAATGACCTGAGATGAAGCCTCAGAGTTCATTTTTTTTTTTGAAGCATCCCAGATGATTCTAGTGTGCCCGCAAGGGTTAGAAGGCCCCAGAATGATCCCCCCAGGTCCCTTTGTCTTCCTATGCCTCCTGTTTCTCTGTCCACACCGTTTCTTCTTCATGCTCACCTCTCCTTTTCTAAGTCAGTTACTTCATCTCTCCCCTTCCCTCCACCTGGCACGTCTGTCTAGGCCTCTCTCTCTCTGTTCTCCCTTTTGATGTTATCTCTTCGACTCTGATTTGCTCTGCCTCCTCTGTCTCCTTGTCATTAAAGACATCTTGAGTCTCTCTGCCTTTTTCCCCGTCACCATCTCCGTAAATAATCATAGCTAACATTTTCTGAGCACTTTCTACCCGCCAGGAACCATTCCTAATGCCTTATATGCATTAACTCAATTTATCCTCACACCCTCCTGAGATAAGTTTTATAGGAAAACTTCCATTTTACAGAAAAGGAAATTGAGGCTCAGAGAAGTTAAGTAACGCATCCAGAGTCACAAAGTGAGGATGCGGCAGAATCACCCCTTGAACCCCGTACAGCCTGGTGTCAAAGCTCTAACCAGGACATTCGACTCCCTCCTTTTTTTTTTTTTTGTGAGGAAGATCAGTCCTGAATGAACATCTGCCAATCCTCCTCTTTTTGCTGAGGAAGACTGGCCCTGGGCTACCATCTGTGCCCACCTTCCTCTACTTAAATGGGACACAGCCACAGCATGGCTTGACAAGCAGTGCGTCGGTGCGCGCCCGGGATCCGAACTGGGGAACCCCAGGCCGCCACAGCGGAGCGCGTGCACTTAACGCCTTGCGCCACCAGGCCAGCCCCTCGACTCCCCCTTTATACCGTGAATCAGTATCTTTAAAACTTGAACCACAGTAAAGAAGACATTTGCATTATAACCAGTACCGACCAAAGTATATATAACGTTTCACGAAATAAGACTTTCCCTTACCCTACAGGGGCACTCATATTTTCCATTCTATTCTTTTTCATGCTAGTGGCAACCCACTAAATAATTTCATGCAGATTGTGACCTGAAATTTGATCATTCCTGCTGCGTGACATGGGGTCAAGCCACTTCACCTCCCTTAGCCTCCATTTCCTCATCTGAACGGAAATAACCACTCATCGAGTCAGTGCAGAGAGATCACATGCATATGGGGCCTTGACCAGTCCACGTTCTCAATAAATGTTACGTTCCCCTCTATTGCCCTTGGTTTTGCAGGCCTTTGCTTTCCTTCTCTTTCCATCTCTCCCTCCCCTCTCTGTCTCTGATTCACCCTCTCCCTTGCTTCATTCGGTAAATGTTGCCTCCTCTGATCTAGGTCACATCTCCCACAGTCACACCTACCCCCAAAGTTGGCCAAGCGGCTGATGCGGGAGGCGGGCACCTTGCGTTCTCGAGAGCGGTCACTCAGCTGGGAAATGGGGAGAAGATCTGAGGGTGGGAAGGTGGGCATAGCGCACAGGGAGACCAACCAACCTGCCGCCACACCTTTCCCCAAGCTCAGGAGGCCAGCTGCCTTCATGGCCTGTTGCTGGGCCGGAGCGGGGGCAATGATACCTGGGGCCGGGGTGTCTTCCTGATCCGGGCCTCCCGTGCCCGGCGAATGTCCTCCTCACACAGACCTCTGCCAGGCCCATCCTGATAAAGCTTTTGGGCCCAAGAAACCCCACACGGCCCCTGCAAGAGACGTGGACATTGGTATGGAGTAGAGGACATGGGGTCTGCCTGGCCGTTTTGGATCCTCCCTCTCCTTTTACTCCCTGAAGTCTCCCTCAGCCTCCTCCCCTTGGAAACCCCTCCCCAGCCTCTTACCCACCAGTGGGGCCCAGGCCTCAGGACCCCACAAGGCAGACCAACAGTCCGGCCCAGCGGTCCACAGGTCCCCCGCAGGAGGCCCCCCACCTCCAGCCACATCGCCTGGGGGAGAAGAGGGATTATTCGGGTAGGACTTGTGGGACTGCCCTCCCTGCTTTGCCCTCGTCTTTGCCAAGCCCTCACATTCCTCCGTGTCCACCCTAAACTCAAGACTCCCACCCACCAGACTTCCTCCCCCGTTAACAGGCCCCCAGTTTCTCCTGGTTCCCTCTCCCGTTGCTAGAAACCCACAGCTCTTCCCGCGTGCCTCCAAAGCCCACTTTCCCCCTGTCCCACGCCTCCCCCGTTGCTAGACACCCACAGATCCTCCAGGGCTACCTCTTCACTTCTCTGAGCCCCCTCGTTGCTAGGCACCGCCTTCCCCTCTGTTGCTAGGCACCCTCAATTCCTCCTGTGTCCCCCCCACTCTGTTACCGGGCACCTCCCCCCGTTGCTAAGCACCCACCGCTCCCAGGCTCCGGGTCCCCTACGCGCGGGGGCCTCTTGCGCTTCCGGGAGTTTCCGCAGCCCGCCCCCTCCGGTCAGCTAGCCAATGGCGAAGCAGCAGCTCGCTGACTGGCACAAAGCACTCCCCGCTGTGCGTGAGGGGGCGGGGCAGGGGGCGGGCCCTAACTGTGGGCTTTGGGGTCTGCTGGGGATTGCTGGGGCGGGGCGGGAGCGCGCACGTGCCTTTTACGCCCCTCACTCACCTCCAAGTGTCCGGTACGCGGCGGACCTTTTTGTTTCCTACCCGGTCTTTTTTGCAAACAACCCTCTCCCTTACAAACTCCGCAGCTCTCCTCTGCGCGAACATCTTGCCAACCTCCCTTTTTATTTTTACCCCCAAAAGCCTCAACATCCCTTCTTTGAACACACATCTTCCCAGCAAACATTTCCCTTGCACATGGAGCCCCCCGACTTTACACACCCACCCTCTGCTTCAAACACCTGCATCCTGGCACCCAGCCTCCTCCTTTGCACACATAAACCCCTGCCTTGCTCGGCAACTGTCTCCCTCTCACACCCTCAACTCTCCCGTATACCTAAACCCCCTCACACGCAGCCCCTTGTACACTGGGCCCCTGTTCCCTCTACACTCTGCTCTCTCCGCTCCCCGCCCACCTGCAGGATGGTGTGAGTGGGAGCCCTCTGTTTCCTGTCGGCCTGACATTTCCCAGAACACACTCAGCCAAGATTCCCAATGCTGAGTCAGGAGCCTTGGCATCCCAGAAAAACAGCTCTCAGCCCATCTGGGTGTGTGTGTGGGGAGACAGGCTTAAAGCCTGCTCCCCCCACAACAGGCTGACTCACCCCTCTTCTCACAATCTGGAATAGGAGCAGCTGGCTGGGGCATCTCTCCCACCGCTGGGAGAGGGAGGGATATGACGCTTCCCCCACAGACCCCCCCCAACCTTATCTAACCCCTCTTTGTCAGGAATCAGACCTCCCTGTCTCTGTCCCTGTGTCATGTGACCTCAGAAGAGCCTCAATCCTTTCTGGACCTCAGCTTCCCAGCTTGTATGATGCATTACAGGCCTGCTTGGCCTTCTCATTGATCTGTGAAGAGATGACTCATTTTAGAGCTCTGGGCCTGTGACCAATGCCCCTCCCCCAGGTGGCTCAATTTCAAGACAGAAACCATCCCCTGTCTCCCTCCAGACATAAGGGTCTGACTCAGGAGCTGTGTGACAGCTCACCCTTGGGGGCAAAAATATATAAAAAGCACCTATGACAATAACTAACCCTATAGGACTGTGGCTGATGGTGCTAAGCCTGGCGCCACACGCTTCACATACATGAGGTCATATCAGCCTGGTGGCTCCAAGCAAAGCCTAGAGGCTGGCAGACCTCTGAGCCTCAGTGTCCCCATCTGTAAAAGGGGACTGTGGCATCCCCTCTTGCTCAGTGTTAGTGAGAGAGATGCAGTGAAATAGTATCTGTAAAGAGCTTGGCACAGGGCCTGGTTCAGAACAAGAGCTCTATACATGGGAGAAATTGCTTACGGAAAAAAGTCATCCTTTTCAAAATTTCTGTTAAGCATTTACCATGTGCTTTTCTAGGCACTGGGGACACAGCAAGGAACAACGCAGGCAAAAAAATCTTTGTCCTCTTGGTGCTGGCTTCTGGTGAAGGGCACAATAAACAAAATAAATAACTATACTTAATAAGGTGACGTGTTCAAGAGAAAAATAAGCCAGGGAAGAGGGGCAGGAAGTAGAGTGAAGATTGTGAGTTTAAATAGGGTGGTCCGAGAAGGCCTCACTGAGGAGGTGATGTTTGAGTAAAGTCCTGAAAGAGGTGAAGGAGGGAGCTATTGGAGTATCTGAGGGAAAAACATTCCAGGCAAAGGGAACAACTAGTACAAAGTCCTGTGGTGAAAGACATCTCGGAGAAATAGCAGAGAGGCCAATGGGCAGAGTGAGTAAGGGGAAAAGACGGAAGAGATGAGGTCTGAGAGGTAACCAGAGCCAGATCACATAGGGTATAGTGAGTCACGGTGAGGACTGTGGCTTTTACCCTGAGGGGATGGGAACCATGGAGGGTTCTGAGCAGAGGAGGGACATGATCTGATTTAGAGAAAATACTCGTACTTCCTGCTCTTCCTCCAACACCCCCAGCCTCAAAAGCAAGTTGTATCACCTAGTAGGGATCAAAAGCCCAGACATTGGATTAGGTGGGCCTGGGTTCAAATCTACACAATTTAGATGTGTGAACTTAGACTCACTGCTTTCTGTGCCTCTATTTCCCTGACTGTGTAATGGGGATGGAGATCCCCAGCTTACAAGATTTGGGGTTTAAAGTGCTAAGTACAGTGTTAGCACAAAGTAAGTGCACAAATGTCAATGTTGTAAATAAATAAAAATTCCCATACCAACCCTGTGAAAAAATTATCATCGCTATCCCCTTTTTACAGATGAGGAAACTGAGGTCATCCCAGAAGTGAACACCGAAGCCAGGATTTGAAACCAGGCATCCTAGCTTCAGAGTTAAGGCCCTGGCTTTGCCCCTCATCTAACCTCCCTTTGACCTTGGAGAAATTCTTTCTTTGTTCTGGGCCTCCATTCCCGATTGGTAAAAGTTCTTGGCTTTTGTGGCATTGAGCACATTTTTTGAAACAAAATATTATGTTTCTTCATTTTACAGGTGAGAAAATTCAGCCTGGGGCAAGGAGACAGGGAGCGTAAATCACTCTCTGACGGTAACACAGCTAGGAATTGGCAGAGGCGGGTCTCGAACCCACATTCTTGGAATTTCCAAGTCTTTGAAAGACAGTCCCAGCCCTGGGAGAAGAATGGGCGCGCTGCTGGACTCCGTACCGAGGGTTATAGGGAGGCTAAACGGGTCACTCGAGGGTGTAGGAAGGTTGGATTGCTCGCGAGGGTCTACGGAAGGGCCTCACCAGCCCGCAACCAAAACCCCAGCGCTGCAGACCCAACCTGGACCAGCGACGGGCGCTCGGAGTCCAGCCCCTCTAACGGAGAGGGGCGGGGCCAGACGAGGCCCGTCCCCTGTACGTCACGTCCGGCGGGGCGGGGCTTCGGGGCTTTCCCCGGGAGGTGGGGGCGGGGAGTATCGGTTAACCCCTGCGAGGCCGGGCGGGCTGGAGCTCCGCGGTGCCGGAACCCGGGAGTCGGGGCTCCCCAGCCACACCCCTCGCGGGATTTAAAGGGGCAGGAGGCGCCGGGTCGGGCCGAAGCCTGAACCAAGCGAGCGGGCATGAGGCGCTGCCCGTGCCGAGGGAGCCTGAGCGAGGCGGAGGCCGGGGCGCTGCCGGGGGCGGCCCGCATGGGGCTGGAGGCGCCGCGAGGGGGGCGGCGGCGGCAGCCCGGGCAGCAGCGACCTGGGCCCGGCGCAGGGGGCCCGGAGGGGGGCGGGCCCCGGGCCCGAACCGAGGAGTCCAGCCTCCACACCGAGCCCGAGAGGGCCAGCCTCGGGCCTGAGCCGGGGACTGACGGACAGGCTGAGCCTGAAGCAGCTGGCTTCGGAGTAGAGACGGAGCGGCCCAGCCGAAGGACGGAGCCAGACAGGTCCAGCCTCCGCACACATCTAGAAAGGAGCAGCCGCTGGTCAGAGCTGGCGACAGCTGGTCCCTGGACTGAGACTGGGACAGATGGCTTTTGGACTAATCCGCACAGGTCCCACCTCCAGTCTCAGCCAGAGAGGTCCAGACTCTGGACAGAGCCAGGGGTTGATGGGCCCTGGACAGAGCTAGAAATACGTGGGTCACAGACCCAGCTAGAGAGGGCCAATCTCTGGACCCACCAGAACAGGTCCAGCCTCCGGGCTCAACCAGAGAGGGGCTGTCCCTCAACAGAGCCAAATGCCGATGGCTCCTGGGAAGAATTGTACACTGATGGCTCCAGGACACAGCAGGATACTGAAGGCCCCTGGACAGAGCCTCACGCTGATGGCTCCCAGATACAACAAGATCCTGAAACAGCCTGGAAACAGCTTGGCACTGATGGTTTCCCAACACAACAAGATCCTGATGGCTCCTGGACACAGCTTGAAACTGATGGTGCCCAGGCACAAGATACTCATGGACCCCAGACAGAGCCTGGGACAGACTGCCTTTTGGGGGAGCCCAACCAAGATGACTCATTAGAGGAACCAGAACGTGGGGAGTTGGTGACTCACCTGTACTCTCACCTGGAAAGTAGCCCCCTGACCCCTGTGCCCCGCCTCATCATCACTCCTGAAACCCCTGAACCTGAGGCTCAGCAAGTGGGACCCCCGTCCCGGCTTGACGGGGGCAGTGGCGGCTTCTCCTCTGCCTCCTCTTTCGACGAGTCTGAGGATGACGTGGTGGCCGGGGGCGGAGGTGCCAGCGACCCCGAGGACAGGTCTGGGGTGAGTGGGACCCATCCTGCCCTTGAGCCACATCCCCTCAAACCCCTTATCCCCCTGCCTTTGCTTTGAGAAGTTCTCTAGCACCTACTAGCAATTTCATCTCTAGGTACCTCTTTCATCCACTGACCTCCTCCCTCTGACAGCCAGGTTACTAACCCACTCCATGCACCTTCCTCCTAATTCTCTCCTTCCCCCTCACCCACTGCCTCCAGTCCTGGGGTCTCAAATGGATGACCACTGGCCGACTTCCTGGCACCCAAGAACCCCTGAAATTGTGCAATTATGTGAATCTGTGTGTATACACACATAGCTTTGCAGCAAGCGTCTATGACTTCTGTCAGATCCTGTGGAGAGTCCGTGACCTCCAGATCTGAAGAGCACCAGTACAACGAGTCAGAGAGGATGCACTTTCCACCCCAGATTTCTTAGTTGGGGGCCTGTGGCTGCTTTAAGGGCTCGTAAACCTTCACCACTTCTTAGCCCATTCACTTTTGTAGGGAGCGAGCCCCCAGCTTGTATCAGATTCTCAAAGGGCTGTGTGAACCCAAAACGCTAAGGGACCCCCAGCCTAGCCAGGGACCCTCTGGTCTCCCTGCTGTCTTCTAGCTCCCCAGAGGGCCCCCTGCAGACTCTTGTTTACATCCTCCACCCTTACCCCCAGCTTGGGTGTGGTTCTCCCCCAGTGAATCAGGAGGGCCGGCAGGGCAGGTTCAGGGAGGGAGGGTCACCGCAGAGGCAGGTGAGAGAGCCTCACGTGGTCTGCCCGCTGGGTCCTCCCGGAGTCCTGGGGCCCCTGGCTGGAGTCTGCCCTGAGCTCCCCTCTCCCCACATCCCTCCCTTAGGAACGTGCTCACTCATGCAGCCACAGGTATGATAGACAGACCTGCCTCAGCCTGCCTGTGCCTGAGCAAGGAGCTGACCCTCTGGGGCTTTCTGCCATGGCTGTTCCCTCTGCCTCCTCTCTCACCTCCTTGGCATCTCAGAACAGCTGAGCTGGAAGTGGGTGAAAAATATATATATATAGTAATAATAGCAGTTAGCATTCAGCCCTGTGCTAAGCTCTTTGCTTGTATGAACTCATTTAGTCCTCACAGCAGCCAATGAAGTAGATACTATCATTATCCTCATTTTATAGATGAGGACTCTGAGGCACAGAGAGGTCAAGACACTTGTCCAAGGTCATACACCTTGGAAGACACAGAGCTGAGATTCAAACCCTTACTGAATACCAGGCACTCTTCTAAGAGCTTTCTATGTGTTAACTCTTTGAATCCTTAGAACAGCACTGTGAGATTGGGATTATTATTATCTCCATTTTACAGATGAGAATACTGAGGTAGAGAGAGGTGAGGTCACTTGCTTAGGGTTGGCCATGTCTGGTCAGAGCCAGGATTCTAACTCAGTTCTGGCTGAGTTGAAAACCCAGGCATTTTAACCCCTGCAGTGATCTTTCCCTAACTTGCTTTCCTCCCGGGCCTCCCTGTCTCCAGTTTTGCCTCTTCCTTCCAAAATCTGCCTCCATGGCCCAGCTCTGATTGACTTTTGAACTTCCCTGCTCCAGCGCCTTCCGTGGCTCCCCAGGGCCTTGCTGATAGCGATCAGGAGTTCAGTCCTGTGTTCAGAGCTTCCTGTCTCCAGGCTCCTTCCCACGTTCAGCTTCCCTTCTCCCCTCCTGATCCCCTCTGCTGCAACAAAACCGAAGTACACACTGTTCCTCGAACACCCTGCCACCATCCTGCCTCCACTCATTGCTCAAGCTGTTCCCACTGCCCAGAATACCCTCGCTTCCTTCTCACTTCATTTTGAAATCCCATCTGACCTTAAAGGCCCAGCTACTTTCTTCCTTTCCTCACCCTTCCTTCCTTCTCACATTTATCCTGTTCTCCTCTCAGACCGCAAACAGTTCCCGAGCCCCTGCTATTTGTCTGGCCCTGTGTTGGCTTTGCTGGCGACCGAGACACTGCCCTCACGGACCTCCCAGGCCCGTGGAAGAGACATACCCCTCACCAGGCAGTGACAGCTCAGAGCGGTCAGGGATGCGGGAAGCCCAGAGGGTTGTGGAGTTCAGAGGCGGTGACTGGCCAGACCTGGGGTAGGGCTCCAGAGAGGGATCCCTGGAGGAGGGGACGTGTGAGCTGAGACCATCACGAAACCATGTGAGAATGCCTGGATTAACCATCAGATCTAAGAAAAAAGAGAGAGAGAAGATACTGAATCTGCTTATGATTAAAAAAAGACAGTTTCAACTATCCTCCTTCAATCCAAGCAGTGTGTTGGGAGCACCTATTGAGTGCCGGGCTGTGAGCTGGGGACACAGTTGTAACCATGACAACCCCAGTCCCTGCCCTCATGAGCTTGCAGTCCAGCAGGGCTGTAGTGGGTAAGCCCAGGGCAGTGGGTCAGAGCAGAGGTAGAACCCCAGCACTGTGCTGTGTGATTCAGGCAAGTAACTTCACGCCTCTGAACCTATGTTGCTTCCTCTATAACACAGTCAACCATCCTCCTGGGGTTGTGTTTTTAGGATTACGTAGGTTATGTCACACTAGGTCTTTGTCATTGTGCCTGGAATGTTCCAGGTGCTTGGTAAACAGGAACCTTTATTAATCACCTCCTCCCCATAGCTGGCAACTGGAGGCAGGGAAGGAATAGCCCTTCCTGAATCCTGCAGTCCAACCCCCTGACTCTGACCTTCCCACCATCAGTTAGATGTCTGCTGGGTAGCTGGGCTCTGAGGGGCTGGGAGAGAAGATGGCCTTGAACATGGGGTAGTCGGGGGCGGGGAGGTGAGCTTCTGTTCTGGAGACGACCCATTCTCCCAATACTTGCTAAGGGCCTGCTCTGTGCTTCGAGCAGAGAATGTATTCGTGTGTGTGCGTGCGTGCATGTGAATCAGACGCTAACCTGGTCTCAAGAGGCTCTTGGTTGAGTCAACATGATACAAGTACATCTTTGTTTTCTGTTTGCTTCTCTGGTTTTCTGTTGAGCTTTCTCTCTGTCTTTCTCTGCTTCTATCTGTCTTTTTCTTTTTCTGTCATTACTTTGTATCTGTGTCTCCCTTTCTGTCTTCTTCTCCTTCTTTCTTTGGCTTTTGGTAACCATCTCTGTATTAGTTAGGATAGGTCAGGATTTGCTGTAGTAACAAACCAGCCCCACACTTTGTGACTTGGAACCACAAAGGATTGTTTTTGTTCATACTTCACATTGACCGTGGGTGAATGGTGGGTGAGGGGGCTCTGCTCCAGGCCGTCTTCACTCAGGGCCCAGGCTGGGGAAGCCTCTGTTTCTCTTTCCACCCCTTTCTACAGTAGGGAAAAGAACACGGAGAGTCATGTACTGGCTTTAAGCCTTCCACCCCAAAGTGACACTTCTGCTCACATTTCATTGGCCAAAGCAAGTCAATAACCTAAGTTCAGGAGGGCAGGGATGTCCCTGTAGGGGGAAGGGCTGGATTTGGTGAGCAGTTCCCGTGACTGCCACAGTCTCTGTCTTTGTTCCCATCTCTCGGTCTCTGTCATCACTTAGTCCTCTGTCTCTCTTTCTGTCTTTATTTTGGCCTCCATCCATCAACTCCTGTCTCTATCATTTTCCCTGGAAGGTCTGACTTGGTTCAGGGACAGAGATGAGGCTTCCATGTTTTTGGTGTGTGTATGTGGGGGGAAGATTTGGGGGTTGCTGGTTACTGCAACAAAACCTAGCCTATCTTTACTCAGTCGAGAAGGACAGAGAGACACAGATAGAAAGTGATGACAGAGACAGAGAGAAATGGACAGACTCTTCCCCACCTTTGCTGACGCCTCTGGAGGATCTCGTGATTGCTGAAGTAAGTGGGCTTCGCTCACCCCAATGAGTTTGGGAGCAGTGATCCTAGGAAGCCCCCTGGCCCTGGCAGGACCTCAGGTCTACCTTGGTTCTCTCTCACGGCAGCAGCCTCATGCCCTTCCCTCCTCAGCCTCTGCCCTGACCCCACCCTGCTCTGCCCTACACAGAACAAACCGTGGAAGAAGCTGAAGACAGTTCTGAAGTATTCACCCTTCGTGGTCTCCTTTCGAAAACACTACCCTTGGGTCCAGCTGTCCGGACATGCTGGTGAGAGCAGGGGGATGGGGACAGGGGCGGGGTGGGGGGGCAGACAGGGCTGGGCAGAGACACCCGGGCTGGGGAAAGAAAGCTACAGAGCCGCTCTCTGGTGTTTAGTTTCCCCATCTGTAAAATGGGCTTGGTGATAGTCCCCACCTCTTGGTGCTGTTATGGGAAGACCTGGGCCAGGTCATTCATATATCAGAGCTGAGGGCGGTTCCCTGTTATCCTGGTGCCGGGGTAAATCCTTGACTTTGGGGACAAATGGGCCTGGGCTCAAATCCTAGTTCTGCTCTTTATTCATGAGTGACCCTGGGCAAGTTACTTTCCCTCACTGGGCCTCAGTTTCCTCATCTGTAATATGGAGATAATCGTACCTCCCTTGCAGGGTTAACTGAAGGGTTAAAAGAATCAAAAGGTATATCAACACTGAGCGAGACCCCCTCATAAATGGAAATTATCATTCCCTCTCCATGGCCTGTGTCCAGAGCATAGTGGGCCCCCAATAAACAGCAGCTATAATGGTTTTCCCCAGGACCTAGCACAGTGTCTCCAGCACATAGAAGCAAAATGCCTAGCATATAGCACTTTTTGTAAAGGGCTAGATAATAAATAAACTACTCAATTCCTCTGTTGCAGCATGAAAGTAGCCATAGATAATATGTAAACATATGAGTGTGTCTGTGTTCCAATAAAACTTTATTTAAAAAAACAGGCAGTGGGCTGGACTAGACAAACTGCCTGCCAGCAAAGGGAGACAGGAAGGGAACTTATCTGCCTTGTTCATTCTTAGATCTGAGACAGAGAAAAGGCAAGGCCCCCCTGAAACTGTAAACACAGACCTGTCGTCTAAATGTGTTCTAGTTACTATTGCTGATTATACAAAAAAAAAAAAAAAAAAAAAAAAAAAAAAAACTCAAAACTTAAAAGAAAAGTGATTAGGGGCCAGCCCGGTGGCTTGGCGGTTGACTGCGCGCGCTCTGCTACTGGCGGCCCAGGTTCGGATCCTGGGCGTGCACCGACGCACCGCTTCTCCAGCCATGCTGAGGCCGCGTCCCACGTACAGCAACTAGAAGGATGTGCAACTATGACATGCAACTATCTACTGGGGCTTTGGGGGAAAAAAAGGAGGAGGATTGGCAATAGATGTTAGCTCAGAGCCGGTCTTCCTCACCAAAAAAAAAAAAAAGTGGTTTAAAAAAAGCTTAATGGAATAAAACAACCATTTTATTATACTTACAGGTTTTGGGTTAGGAATTCAGATAGGGCATGGCAAGGATGGTTTGTTGCTGCTCCATGATATCTGGGAACTCAGCTAGGACAACTTGAAGGCTGCAAGCTGGAAACTTTCGGAGGTTCATTTGCTCACACGCCTGGCGATTGATACCGGCTGTTGGCTGGGTCTCAGTAGGGGCAGCTGGTTGGAAAGCCCATATGTGGCTTCTCCGTGTAGCTGCCTGGGCTTCCTCACAGTATGGTGGCCTGGAGTAGCCAGATTTCTTACATGGCAGCTCAGGACTACAAAGGCGCGTGTCTCTGCTAATAAAGTGGAAGCTGCATCTCCTTTTATGACCTAGACTCTGAGGTCACACAGTGTTGCTTCTGCCGTAAGCCCTGCCAGGTTCAAGGGGAGAAGAATTAGATTCCACTTCTTGATGGGGAGTGGTGAAATTCTAGAAGTGTGTGTGGGACGGGAGCTATTGTTGTCGCCATCTTTGGAAAATATAATCTGAAAATACAGTCTGCTTCAACAAGAATTTGTGTGTGAGGAAGATCAGCCCTGAGCTAACATCCATGCCAATCCTCCTCTGTTTTTTGTTTTTTTTGTTTTTGGCTGAGGAAGACTGGCCCTGAGCTAACATCTGTGCCCATCTTCCTCCACTTTATGTGGAATGCCGCCACAGCATGGCCCGACAAGCGGTGTGTCGGTGTGCACCTGGGATCTGAACCCAGGCTGCCAGCGGTGGAGCACGTGCACTTAACTGCTATGCCACAGGGCCGGCCCCTCACTAACAGTTTGTAATTCTGCTTTACATTAACTCTCTGCGTGGTCCAGGAAATGCCAGATTTGTAAATTAACCTAAAGAGGCTTCAGTTGTTAGCACTTGGGGACTCTAGGCAGAAGCAAATGCACATCTGTTCTGCAGAGTCAGGCTCTCAACTCAGATCTCACAAAAATTCCCACAGCTGATTGTGAGCTCACAATCCAAAATTACAAAACAAATGAGGACACAGGACTATGAATAGGACTCTGTTTAAACAAAGAGCAGAAATAGGCCCTTCCCTCACCATCCCTGGCCAAGATTTTGAGAGTTGCAGGGAGAGAGAGCAAACATTGCAGAAGAATCAGGCAAGATGATGGTGGCCAGGATCTGATGCATACGGGAGATGGGGGAATTCTCTTGCTGATCCAGTTTCTGACTCTCGTTGACTGTGCTGCTCATAGGGAACTTCCAGGCAGGAGAGGATGGTCGGATTCTAAAGCGTTTCTGTCAGTGTGAGCAGCATAGCCTAGAGCAGCTGATGGGCGACACCCTGCGGCCTTTCGTGCCAGCCTACTATGGCATAGTGCAGCGGGATGGCCAGGCCTTCAACCAGATGGAAGATCTCCTGGCGGACTTCGAGGGCCCCTCCATCATGGACTGCAAGATGGGCAGCAGGTGGGCTCAGGAACAGCCATGGGGCAGAGGTGGAGGGCAGTGGTGGGCGTTTTTTAAGACAGTGCCAAGTCAGTCTTCAAAGTGGTTCCAGCATACGTCCCACCAGCGGCGTATAAGAATTCTGGTTGTTCTGTCTTCTCAGCAACACTTGGTATTACCTGTTTTATTAGTTTTAACCATTCTGGTGAGCGTCTCATTATGGTTTTCATTTCTGTTTCTCTGATGACAAAAGAAGTTGAGCATTGATTGGCCATTTGGAAATCCTCTTTTGAAAAGTACCTATTTGAATATTTTGCCCATTTTTCTATTGGGCTGTCTGTCTTTTTCTTTTTTTCTTTCTTTCTTTTTTTTTTTTGTGAGGAAGATCAGCCCTGAGCTAATATCCATGCCAATCCTCTTCTTTTTTGCTCAGGAAGACTGGCCCTGGGCTAACATCTCTGTCTATCTTCCTCTACTTTATATGGGACGCTGCCACAGCATGGCCTGACAAGCGGTGCATTGGTGCACGCCCAGGATCTGAACTCGGGCCACCAGCAGCTGAGCGCACGCACTTAACCACTATGCCACGGGGCTGCCCCCTGTCTTTTTCTTGATTTGTAATTCTTTATATATTCTGAATAGAAATCCTTTGTTGGAGACACACACACACACATTCTCCTATTTCACTCTCTTAATAGTGTCTTTTGATAAACAGAAGTACTTTTAATTTAGTCCAGTTTGTCAATTTTTTTCACTATGGTTAGTGGCTTTGTTTTTAAGAAATCTCTGTACTCCAGGATCATGAAGATCTTCTTCTGTGTTTTCATCTACAAGCTTTATTGGTTTAACTTGCACATTTAGGTCTGCAATCCATCTAGAATTAATTTTTATGTATGGTATGAGGTAGGGTTCGAGGTTCCCATTTTTTTTCCTATAAAAAACAGATCCTGTTGACCCAGCAGCATTTATTGAAAATACTTCCCTTTCCCCACTGAATTGCAGTGTCTTCTTTGTCATAAATTGGGTGAATGTACAAGTGTGTGTCTGTTTGTGGACTCTGTTCTGGTCCATCGATCTGTGTGTCTATTCTTGTGCCATACTGTAGTTTTATAACATGCCTTGATATGAGGGAGTGAAAGTCCTCCACCTTTGTTCTTCATAATTTCCTTTGTCATGTCCTCTGTGTCCCAGGACCTACCTGGAGGAGGAGCTGGTGAAGGCACGAGAACGGCCCCGGCCCCGGAAGGACATGTATGAGAAGATGGTGGCTGTGGACCCCGGGGCCCCCACCCCTGAGGAGCATGCCCAGGGTGCAGTCACCAAGCCCCGCTACATGCAGTGGAGGGAGACTGTGAGCTCCACCTCCACCCTGGGCTTCAGGATCGAGGGCATCAAGGTGAGGGCCCGGAGCTGCTAGCCTGTGGCTGGAGGGCTGGGAACTAGATCTGAGGCAGGGCTTGTGGGAGAAAACGTGGGTGTCAGGGAAAGTTGGAAAGAAGCAAGATCTAGAGAGAGAGCAGGAGACTGCAGAGGATGAAGAGAATGGGGCCAGGGGAGGTCCTGCTTCTCTCTCACCACCATACCCGTCAGAGACCAAGTTTAGTTTATCCGTCTGCCTGAGCATCTCTTGATTGCGTCGTCTTCTCCCCTCCCTGTGGTCCTGTCCTAGTCTGGCCCTGCCTTCTCCTGCCCCAGCCTCCCTGGGCGCCTGGGCCATGGTCTCACCCCCTCTGATCCATCATCCAACACAGCAGCTGGCGGGGTCCTTTTACCCCCTTTTATGGAGAAAGTTTTTATTTCTCCTTCTTTTTTTTTTTTTTTTAAATTAAATCTAATTGTTTGAATAGGCATTCCTACAGTTCAAAAGTCAAAATGATATTATAAAAAGGTCTATAGAAGAACTTCTCTCCCAGCCCTGCTGCTGTGCTTCCCATTCTGGCCCTGTACCCCCACCTGCTCGTGGGGAACCACTTTATCACTTTCTTATATTTCTTCCAGCAAATACCAACAAATGAAATTGCATATCCTAAATCTCCCTCTCCCTCTTACACAAAAGGTGGCGCAGTATACACGCTGATTGGCATTTGGCTGTTTCACTTAACAGCAATGTCTTGGAGAGTTTTCCCTATCATTCCGTAGAGAGTCTCCTCTTTCTTTTTCTTTTTCTTTTTTTTACAGCCGCATAATATCTCTTTGTGGAAGTACCAGAGTCCTCTATAGATGGCCACCTGGGTTGTTTCCACTTTTTGCCATTACAAACAATGTGTCAATGAATCACTTTGTACATAAGCTGTATTGTAAACATGTGGGTTTAGCTGTAGACTAAATTCCTAGAAGCAGGATGGCTGGGTCAAAGATTAAATGCATTGGGAATTTTTTGAGAGATTGCCAAACCCCTTTCATAGGTATCGTACTGCGTGTCCCACCAGCCGGAGTGCCTCTTTCCCCATGGCCTCACCTGAGCCATCTTTCTAAGTTGCAGATCCGGCTATGTCATTCTCCTGTTCACAACTCTTCTGTGACTCCCCAGTATCCTCAGGAGAAGTTCCCTGGCCTCAAGGGCCCTCCAGGGTCTAGGCTCTTCCCTCACCCCTCTCTTCCTCCTTGCAGGTCACAGTGATGCACTTTCATTTCCTTGAAAGGGTCCCACTCTCCTGCCACATGGCATCAGCACATGCTGTTCCCTCTGTCTGGACTGTTCTTCCCCCTCCTGTTCCCCAGATTGACTCCCAGTCATTTTCCTGTCTCCTTTTAAATTTCACTTCCTCCAGGAAGCCCTCCTTGATTCCCATCCTACTAGATCACGGCCCTCTCTTTACCTTCTCTTGGCTTCCTCTTGTTATTGTTAGTGCCGTCGAGTCAACTCCGACTCCTGTTGACCCTGTGGACAGCAGAACGGAACCCTGCCTGGTCTTTTTGCACCATCTTCTCACCTTCCAGCACTGTATCAGACAATGCTCTACTGCTGTTCATAGAGTTTTCATGGCCAGTTTTTTTGGAAGTGGGTGGCCAGGTCCTTCTTCCTAGCCTCTTAGTCTGGAAGCTGTGCTGAAACCTGTCCACCATGGGTGACCCTGCTGGTATTTGAACTATTGGTGGCATAGCTTCCAGCATCACAGCAACTTGCAGCTGCCACAGTGTGACAACCGACAGACAGACGGGTGGTGTGGTTTACTGACTGGGAAATGAACCTGGGCCACAGCAGTGAGAGCGCCGAATCTTAACCACTAGACCACCAGGGCTGGCTCATAGCTCTGTATACTCCTTCATTATTCTTATCTGCTTTTGTGATGATGTTATTCAGTATCTGCCTCCCTCATCTGACTGTGTCTGTCCTGTTACCTCCCTGTTACCAATGCCCACATGGTACCTGGCACAGTGTGGCAGAATGACTCAGGTGGCTTCTCTGTGCCCCTCTCAGGCATAAAAAAATAGCATTGGTCTCCTTTATCGAATACTTCCTTACTATGTGCAGGTACTGTGCTATGCACCCTACACACTCTGTCTCCTCTGATTCTTTACACCAGCAAGTAGATACCAACACAATTCCCATTTTCCAGATGAGGAAACCGAGGCTGAGACAGGTGAAGTGACTTGCTTCAAGCCACCGAGCTAGGAAGTAGCAGAGTCATGATTCAAGCCAGATCAACCCCTCTCCAAAGCCCGCTTGGCTAGACTGGCTCACCCAGGGGGCTCAAGGTTAGACCTGGAGTGACCGGTTGCTCAGGAGTGTGACTTGGGGCTGAGTTGAATGTGGCTGAGTTGAGCTGGCCTGAGCAAGTGGGCTGACTTCCCTTGAATAGCAAGTGAATATGGAGGCAGGGAGACGGCCCTGGGAGGTCTGAGTCCCCGGCCAGAGTCTGTTGGCATTGGGCATGGGAGGGAGAAAGCATGACACTGCACCTTCACCCCTTGCCCTGCAGAAAGCCGATGGGACCTGCAACACCAACTTCAAGAAGACGCAAGAGCTGGAGCAGGTGACAAAAGTGTTGGAGGACTTTGTGGACAGGGACCGTGGACTCCTGGTGAGCAGGACACCCATGCCCCCAATTTAGCAGCTTAGGACCACCACCCTCGTGGTTGCCCCCAAGTCAATGGGCTTTTGCTTTGGGCCGAGGTTGGCTGATACTGGCAGGCGTTGCCCACTGTCTGTGGTCACCTGGTGGCTTGGCTAGGGCTGGCTGGTCTAGGGTAGCCCTGCTCACATGTCTGGTGGCCGGCTCACATCTTGGCTCATGACTTGGCCACATGTCCCTCATGATCCAGCAGGCTAATCTGGGCTTGTTCTCAGGGTGGAAGCAGGTGGCCAAGAGAACAAGTGAAAATGCAAGGTGCCTTGATGGCTAGGCTCAGAAAGGCCACCATCATTTCTCCTCTGTTCTATTGGCCAAAGCAAGTCATTTGACCAAGCCTAGATCAAAGGGAAGCAGACTCTACCTCCTGGTGGGAGGAGCTGCTAGGAACTGTGGGTATTCATGTAATCTATCAACCACACTTTTCTGTGCCACCCGGATGTGTCCAACCCCCCCACCTCCCTCCCATTTTCCCCGTGGCTCCCCTTATCCCATCCTGGCCGGGGTCTCCCTGCTCCTTTGGGGGTATGGGACAAGGTCAGATCTCAAGGTGGGTAAGGACCCACACAGTCCCTACGCTAACCAAGAAACCCTCCCTCTCACACACAGAGGAAGTACGTGGCTCGCCTGGAAGACCTCCGTGAGGCTCTGGAGAACTCGCCCTTCTTCAAGACCCATGAGGTGCATGGCCCGGCCGCCATGGGAGCAGAGGGCCCTGGGTGGGTGGGGGACACTGTCAGGGGCCAGGTGGCACTGAGAAGGAACCAGTGACAGAGTTACAGGCCAAAGCTGTAAAAAGGAAGCCCCAAATTTGGGGGTTTGCTTTTTGGGGTAGGCAGCTCAGGGGATTTCAGGGAGGTGGGAGGGTTAGGAGCATGGACTCGAGCCAGGTGGCCTGGGATGAAGGCTGTTTGACCCCGGGCATATGAACTACCCTCTCAGGCCTCGGTTTCCTCTCAACATGGGGAGGAACAGTAGTAGTACCTTCCTTATATGGCTGCTGAAGTGTGAGATGAGCGACGTTTGGAGCATGGAAGCACGTTTAACTCCTAGCTCTTACAATTATTTTATAATCATAATTATTTCCAATATTGTTATGTGCATTCCTTGTTTGGTGGCTTCCCCCTTCCCTTTCCCTCCCTGCCTTCTGCAGCCTTGTGTCTCTCTGGAAACATTCGTCTCTCTGGGGCTGTCTCAGAAAGCCTGTGAGGTGGTGACATCACTGCTGTATCCTCTCCTCTCTCCAAGCTCCTCTGCCTCCCCCCTCAAGCCCCTCTCTTCTCTTTCTCCTGATGTGACTGACTTCTGAAAGAGCACTGATCTGGGAGTCAGGCCGGCGCGGGTTCAAACCCCAGCTCTGTACCCCCTAGACACCTGAGCCTGGGCAGGGTTCTGTGGGCCTGTCTCCTGAGCTGCAGGCTGTGGCGACAGTAGCACCTGCTTCATGGGCGTGGGGAGGTTATGTGGATGAACAGAGTGCAAGCCCGGCCCACAGTAGACCCCCAGTGTGTGCCGGCTGTTACTGTCGTATTCATTACCAAATGTCATCCTCATCGTCCTTGTCACTGCCTTCGGGCTCTACACGCAAGTCACAAAGAGGAGGCCTGGGGACCCCATCTTTTCTGTCCTCGTGTTTGGTTTCACCTGCCTGGTGACAACACTTTTTTTTTTTTTTTTTTGGTGAGGAAGATCAGCCCTGAGCTAACATCCATGCCAATCCTCCTCTTTTTGTTGAGGAAGACTGGCCCTGAGCTAACATCCATGCTGATCTTCCTCCACTTTATGTGGGACGCTGCCACAGCATGGCCTGACAAGCGGTGCGTCGGTGCGTGCCCGGGATCCGAACCCGGACCGCCAGCAGTGGAGCGCGCGCACTTAACCGCTATGCCACAGGGCCAGCCCCTGACTTAACACTTTAAAAAAAGAGTTGCCGACATTTAAAATGTGAGACTTCACACCAAAATTGGGATTTCCAGTTTCCCTTGGCACATTGGGAGAGGTGGCAGTACGGGGCCACTTGCCCTATGCCAACAGCCTCTGCCTCTTCTCACCGGCTTGTCTGCCCAGTCGTCTGGGTTCTCTGGGAGCAGTGGCGTTTGAAACCCGACTAGAACAAGGGGAGGAGCTTGCAAACCTGGAGTTAGATGAAGGGAAGGAATGTATTGCTAATTAAAAAACCAAAAAACAGCATCTACTGAGGCTGTGTCCCGAGCACTGCAGGGCATCTTAGGAGTGTGTGGATCATGGAATGCTGCCAATGACCCCAGGAGGTAGGGACTGTTACCATAACCCCATTCTACAGATGAGGAAACCGAGGGCCTGAGAAAGGAAGCCACTTGCCTGGGGTCACCAGCAGCGATCTGCTAGGGCTGAGGAGTTGCTGCCCCTTTCCCCAGGGAGGGCATTAACCATTTCCTCAGCATTCGCCCCCTCCACCACTCCAGGCTCTCTTGACCCATTCAAGATCCCGCAAGCATTTGAGTTTGTACCCCAGCTTGAAAAAGGATAATGGTTAACGTTTGTAGTGCATTTATTATATTGGTAACTGTTCTGAGAGCTTTATATCGATTAATTCATACACAAAAATAAGCACAGCAACCTTTGAGGTCAATGGCACTATTATTCTATTATTCCCACTCTGTATATGAGGATGCAGAGACGAGGAGAGGCTAAGTCACCTGTCCAAGGCCACATAGCCAGCAAGGGGCAGAGCCAGGATTTGAACCCAGACAACCTAGTTCCAAAGTTCATACTGTCAACTACTCTCCTCTGCTGCCTGTTGGGGAAGGGACCTTGGCCCGTGTCTGCCCCTCCCCCTAACCTCCGGCCTCTCCCCGTGCAGGTGGTGGGCAGCTCCCTCCTCTTCGTGCATGACCACACCGGCCTGGCCAAGGTCTGGATGATCGACTTTGGCAAGACAGTGGCCCTGCCTGACCACCAGACGCTCAGCCACCGGCTGCCCTGGGCTGAGGGCAACCGTGAGGACGGCTACCTCTGGGGCCTGGACAACATGATCTGCCTCCTTCAGGGGCTGGCCCAGAGCTGACCTGCTTGCCCACCACCAGGTTGGGCAATGCCCACCATTGGATGGCGCCCATCTGGCTGGAAGAGCCCCAAGATGCGCAGGGGGCCTGAGGTTGGCCATGGGGGAGCTGACATCCGGGGATGGGAGAGGTTCTGTTGTACACCTCGCAAGACCAGTGTGGAAGATCTGCAGGGCCTTGGAGACCAGGTAGCGCCCGGCCCTTTCATGACACGAGGGTTTAAGGACCAGAGAGGGGCCGTGACATGGCTGGGTTCCACCGTGAGCGACAACCAGACTCGGTCTTCTGACCACCCAGGAAGGTTTCTGAGGGGCTGCCAGAGGCCACAGCTAAACCAGGCGCCCTGAAAGAACAATTCAGGTGCCACAGGGTTCAGGCTGACCTGGTGCCTGTCACCCATGAGTGACTGTAATCACTGCCTCCTTGTCGATGCCCTCCTGGCTGGAAGCTGGCTCTGAGGCCAGGTCAGCTTCGTCTGTGGTGCCCTGGAGAACCAGACCTCATTTGCAAACAAATGCAAGAGCCGCTCATCTGTCTGGGTGAGTTATGGCCCCATCTCTTCATCTGGGAGCCGTTCAAGTGCCGAGGGAGGCTCTGAGAGGGCATGACACCATGGGACCTGTCCAAGAGCTGACACTGCTGGGTGGGGCCCAGCTTACCCTGTCCTGCCCTCTCTTCCTCCCTGCTCCTGGGAGAATCCTGCTGACCCTCTGCAGACCAAAACCACAGCCACATCCCATGCCAACACTGTGACCAGCACCATCTCTTTCCTCGGGCACCAGCGCAGCCTCAGAACTTTCTCCTTCCTCCTAGCCGACCGCAGTGACACAAACGGCTCTCTGAGGTTGGGAAGCAGGTTGAGGAATCAGAGCTGCCTTCCTCCGGAGGACTGCCATCCCCGAAAAGTGGCCAGCTTGGGCCACGGGCACGGGGGGGACCACTGGCTGTGACCCCAGGCTTGCAACCTGGTCCCAATCCAAGATCCCAGCACCCTGAGGTGTGGGTGATGCTCCTCCGTCCCCTCCTCCTGCCCCTGTAACACTGGCTTCCTGGCCCAGGAGGCTGGGGGGGGATGGGCACCTCCCTCTTCCCAAGGCTCTAACGCTGTCTCCCAGGGCTGCGGCATGCTCCTTTTCTACTGACCTTTATACTTATTTATACAAAAGTGAGTAGTTGTTAGATGGGGCAGCGTCGGGAACAGGAGGCAGAATCGCCTCACTGCCTTGCCCCCCATGACAGCCCCCCAATAAATGGGACATTCAGAGTTCAAGTTTGTGGAGTTTTTCTTTTGCATCGGAGTGTGTGGGCTCAAAGCTCCTGATCTGAGCATCAGTGCTGGGTGTGGTAATGGGACGATGATCAGTTTGGGGTAGAGGCAGGCTCTGCGTGGGCTGGTCCAGTCATTGGTGGTCGCTGAGCTGCTACTCTTGTGCCTGGCTCTGTGCTGGACAATGCAGGGGGCGCAGTGGTGACCAAGACAGCTCTAAGCCCTGCCCTCAAGGGTTCCCAGGACAGTGCACCAGACAGAATGTGGCAACCATCGTCAGGGCTGGGATGGAGGACACCCCACTTCTGGTTTGAAACACTCCACTGTACAGTTTCTCTGGATAAGACTCTTTGCTGGGCACTGGGGACACAGCAGTGACCAAGACAGATTTGTTCTTCCCCTTTCAGAGGAGAGGCAACAGGTATTCATTAGACTAATAATCTCTCTCTATACATATATGTATACATATCCGTATGGGTACTAACTGCCTGGTTGAGCCCTGACCCTGCCACTTGCCAAGCCACGTGACCTCAGGCCAGTAGCTACACCCCTCCAGGCCTCAGTCTCTCCACCTGGAAAATGGGGAGGATCTAGTACCTTCCTTATAGGACTGGAGGATTTCATGGGTTAACATGGGTAAAGAGGTTGCCACATGTAACTCTTCTCAGAGGGATTTGATTTTTTTCAAAAAAATCAGAACAGAGGTGGGAGAGGAGCCTAACCTGGAGCTGAGGGAATCTTTCCTAAGGAAGCGACAATGAGCCAAGATGGAGCAGTGAAGGAGTCAGCAGAGGGCTGCAGTGGGGTATGACAGGGACCTGGAAGGTGGGTATGGCTGGCTGCAGAAAGTGTGAGAAAGAACAGCCCAGGATAAGGACAGATGAGCTGAGGCCGGGAGAGGTTAATCCCTATCCTGTGAGCAACGAGGAGCTGCTAGAAGCTTCTCTGGTGGGGAGTGGGAAGACCTGGTTTGCGTTTTTTTTTTTTTCCCCTCCATCAGGCCTGGCTCCATGTGAATAGACGTGAGGCAGCAAAGGGTCCAGTGGCGAGGCTCTTGCAGATGTCCAGAGACAGGACAGTGGTTAGAAGGTGGTCACCAGTGAGAATTCAATGGATGCAACATTCACGTAGAATGGACAGGACATTGGGTCTGAGCTGCTGTCAGTCTCCCCCGGAGAGAGGGAGTTTGTCTACGAGGCTTCTGGTTCTAACCCCAGCCCACAGAGTAGGTGCTCAATACTGGGGGGATGGGCTTGGGGGCAGAGGAGTTGGGACAATACCCAGGATTGGGACTGGATGGACTGGGGGGACCCCGCATGAAAGACCTCTGGCTGGAGGTCCTCAGAGATCCAACCCAAACCCTTGGGCTGTTGCACAAAAGGAGAAACTGGGGCGTTTTTCAAATGGTGACAGAGCCAGGCTGTGGCCCAGACCCAGTCCCACAGCTCAGGGCCGCAGCAGGCTAGTGGCTGGAGTCCTGTGGTCTGAGGAGCAGGGCCTGTCCACAGAGGCCGGCCCGCACCCCACCAGCAGGCACCACATACTCCCGGCCATCAGCGGCCCTCGAGGGCGAGAAGTCCGTCAGCTGCAGGTTGCTATCCCGGACTTGGTCGTAGTCCCACAGCTGGTAGTGCCAACTCTTGCCCTGCTTGGAGAGAAGGTAGACGACTCCTGGCGAGTCTTCCTCCGGCAGGGATGGTGGCTGGCGGGGCGTGTGAGGCACTGGGTAGAACAGGCCTGGCAGCTCGGGGTCCTCGGCATAGCCGAGACTTGGCACATGCTGCAAGCCCAGCAGGACCCCTGGGAGGAGAGGGGGAGGCTGTGAGCGGGAGCTGAGCCCTGACGAGGTGCTGGGGCTCACTGAGTACACCCCACAGCCCTCCAGGGTAGGTGTTGCCTCTATCCCCACGGTACAGAGACGTCAGCAGGGACCACAGGCAGGGCTGAGATCTGCACCCAGGGTGTCTGGCTCCACAGCTGCAGGCATTCTAAGTCCTGCCTCCTCCAGCCTGTCAGCACAGGGAGCTGGGAGGCGGCACTAAAAAGAGCAAACAGCCATTTGCATCACGAAGAGATACTCAGGGAGGAGCCCTCCAGGCCACAGACCCATGAGGGGCCCAAGTGGAGCCTCAATCCAGGCCACCTGACACCCGCAAATCCATCCTTCTTTCTGGCAGGTGGAATGATGACAACGCTCATCACAGCCAACACTGAGACGTGTAACGTGCCAGGCCCTGTTGTACGAGTTCTATGTGCTCAGCCTGTGAAGCAGCCCTGTCAGTGGGTGCTACTGTCACCTTGATTTCCAGATGGAGAAATGGAAGCCCAGAGCGGAGCCTGGGAGTGGCTGGACCGGGCCTGGAGCCCAGACTGTCCGATCCTAAAGTCTGCACTCTGAGCTTGTGCATGGAAACCCCCACTGGCAGACACTGAGGCACCTGCTGTCTGCCAGCTCCCTGCTAAGTACCCTCTGGGGACAGGGATGGCCCAGCCCTTGTCCTTGCCTCGAGGGGACTGGGGAGGTGCCAGTGCTAGGGTGAAACTGTGAGGGGGGGTGACGGGGGGCTGGGGAGATCCAGCGTGAGGGCTCAGGGGTGCAGGGGGCGACCCACCTGCGCTCACTGCCCAGTGGGCCTTGTAGCCCTTTCTCTGACACGGCTCGTGGTTGAAGTCCTCATCGTAGCTGGTGCTGGGGTCAAGGCCAAAGCTGTGGTGTGGCCCTGGGACCCACCCTTCTCCATCCCCACCCTGCTCTCTTCCCGGCCTTGGGATACGGGATGAGCAAGGGATTTCCAGCGACAAGGTGCTGCAGGACACGGTCTCTGTTGGGACCGCCCAGGCCTCCACAAAGCAACTCAGCCTGGCAGCCCAGCGCCTCCCGGGCCAGCCCGCCCATGTCGGCCACTGCAGACAGGGCAGACGGAGCGAGGATCACTGTGTGCCTGGGACCACGCCAACGGCTCTCTGGGGATCGAGCCTCTAACTCCCACCATGACCATCACCTCTTTGTACAAAGGAAGAAAATGAGGCACCAAGAGGGTAAGCTGCTTGGCCAGGGCCACACAGTAGGGGGTGGCAGAGCTGTCTGGGAACCCAGGCAGCCTGGCTCAAGTCTACCTTGTAATACTCTGCTCTACCGGGTGGGGAGATGGGCCTGAGGAACAGAATAAGTTCCCCTCATGCACCTGGCAGTGTCCCACCCAGCCTCTCCAGTGCCCTGCTGGTGAAGAACACCTGACTTGCAACCCTTCTGCACCCAACTCACCAGAGAACATCTCTCCCTGGGCCGTGTAGCCTCTCTCCACAGCCATGTGCACGAGTCTCTCCAGGGGGACACCGCTGGGGGGCGCCAGGAGAGTGCCTGCCATCCACAAGGCCACCAGCCCACACCTGGGGAGAGCCAGGCCCAGCCCCTCAACCTGAGTCATGTCTTTACTGGGCACTCCTTTGCCCCAGAAGCTGAAGTTTGGGTAACAGGTTTGCTGCCCTGGGGAAGTTCCCCTCCCCTCTCTGAGGCCGGGTGGGGACACCTGACTCCTCTTCATGAGAGAGAGGATGGCCAAGGCCTGAGCCCAGGGCTGGAGGGCTGGAGGTGGGGTGGGAGGGTGGGCAGAGACGTCACCTGGGCTTCAAAGAGGAGTAGGTGCAAAAGTGGAGTTAGAGATGAGGGACCAGGTTCATTCGTTCACTCACCTGCTCATTGGTGCCAAGTCTGTCTACTGCGCATGCACCCAGGACCTCAACTTGGTAAGTTCCCCTTCCCGCCCCCCCACCTCCCCAGCCTGCCTCCTCCCACTCCTCCCACCCTCCTGGGTCAATCCTCAGGAAGCCCAGCAAAGGCAGGGGCTCGGAATGCCTGGCCGGCCAGGGGGCTGGAGTTCCGCATCAGGGCACGTACTGAGGGCCTTCTTGGATGAGGGAGGGCAGCTCCGCACAGAAGAGGATCCACTGCAGGTCACTCCTGAAACTGAATCAGAGCCACACTCAGGTCACGTGGGAACTAGCTCCTAGACCCCCGCCTTGAGGTCTGGCCAGGAGTGGGGTGTCAAGGGACGGTGATGAGGAGGAACACAGGCCTGGCTGTCCTGAGGCCCGAGGGCCACTCCTGGCTCTGTCACTGACTTCCTTCACCCCAGATGAGGGACTTCCCGTCCCAAGCCTCAGTTTCCTCATCTGCTCAATGGGAATCATCCTTCCACCTGCTGCTCCCTGCTCCTTCTCTCAGTTACCGAAGGGGCAAAGGTTTGCAACTAGGAACCACAGAAATATCTTATATAAGGTGAAAATCCCTTAATTCAGCCTTGAGTAAAACCAGGTAACAACATGCTCCAGGCCTAGAGATCACCTTCATAATGAGCCCTTGCAGGCCTGCCCAGCCCCACCCTTGGGGAGGCCTGCCAACAGCTCTGGTGATGCCAACCCCACTCCCTCCAGGGCTCAGGAGGGGGAGGGCAAAGTGCTTGTATTTCTATTAGAAGGCCAGTGAAAGGGCAAGGCTGGGGGGCGGGGCACCCCACCCTCCTGATAAAGGAGGTGATATCACGGCACATGATTAAGAGCGTGGAGCCCTGTTGCCTGAGTTCAAATTGGGCTCTTTCTCTTCTAGGCACTGTGGCTAAGTGATTTCACTTCTATGAGCTTCAGTTTTCTCATCTGGAAAATGGGATAATAGTTTCTATTGCATGAGTTGCTGAGTGGATTAAATAAGTACTTAAATACACGTAGAACAGTGCCTGACACATGTTAGGCAGGCATAACGGGTATTGTTATTTGCATCAAATTTGCCTCACTGTGGTTGGGGCATTTAGGGCAGATTATCAACTCATCTGGAGAGCCGGAAGTTTCCTCTTGGAGTCTGGGCAAATCACTTCTCCCTCTCTCCCTCAGCCAGGCAATTGGTAAACTGGGTCCCCACAGCCCGAGCCCAGGTCTAGCCCCCTCCCCTCCCGCCTGGGTCCCTTGGTGCTCCAGCTTCCTGCTGGGCCCCCAGGTTCCAGTCTCACCACCTCCACTCCCTGCAGTCATCTCCCTCCCTGCACAAAGCCCTTCCACGGCTCCCTAGTGCCCTCAGGACAGTCCACTTTCCTTCACATGGCCCCCCATGCCCTGCCCACCTGTGAAACCCCATCTTTGCCACTTCCCCTGTCCCATTAGAGAAACATTTGCAGGGCCTTTACAAGAACATGTCTTCCTTTCACTCTAGTCTCGGCACAAGCTGTTTACTCTCGTGACACAGCCCTGCAGGACTTGCTCAACAGCTCTCAGGGGTCCCATTCTCCAAGCAGGTCCCCCTCACCCCCAGCCTGGGTTGGGCACTCCCTCTGGGTGCCCAGAGTTTTGACTGCTCTGGGCTGTCACTGTCTGATGGAGGGAGGGATCTGTCTCACTGGACTAGATGCTTGTGATACCAGTTCAACACAAGGTTGACATAGGGAAGCCATATTGAAGAAAAGAACCCATATTGTAACTTTGAACCACCTTCCATTAACTAACCCAGACATGCTCTGTAGATTTTATGGCCCCTTCCAACTGCTTTACATTGATAACTTTATTCTTTTGAGTCCCTTAGGAATGTGGTGACCCCTGGGCAGAGAGTCTATGCTGACTGCCATCATCAATGACAACTGAAAGATCAGGGTATAATGCCCTGCTCAGCTCTCTGACGTGTATCTAGTAAAACAAAGACTATCAGGAATTAAGACCAGATGCCTCCCCCACCTGGAGACCAGCCCCATAGATAACTGGCCTGTAGTCCTTTTTCCGTAAGATGGTCCTTTTGGACATTAGTCGCCACGTTCCCCCTCGCTAGCAAGCTGTAATGAAAAGTCCTTTCTCTCCTACCTCCTTGCCTCTTGACTACTGGCACGTCTTGCGGTGGGCAGACGCCACCCCCCCGACGACCCTTCCCCCCTTGGGTGGCAACACTTGTGAGGGCAGGATCTTTCTTCAGGGCTGAAGGCACACCACTGCTGTAGCGGTCTAAGTAGGGGGCTGAAGCAGTCAGGCTGTTTGACGTTGAGGAAACGAGAAACCCCCCAGAGGAGATGGCTGAAGTGCTCTGGGGACAGGTGGTTCAGTGAGGCCCCGGGTGGGTGGGGTGGGGCACAGGGACCCTACCGCTCCTTGTGCAGCTTCAGCAGCCTCTTCACATCCTCTCTGCTCCCGGGGACTGGGCCAGCCTTCTCCAAGGCCTCCTTCAGGAGCCGGCTCTTCTCCAGGCCGTAGACATGAGGGGGAGCAACCCCTGTGGCAGGGGGTGGAGGTGGCAGTGGGGGTGGTGGGGGAATAGGGGCCTCAAGACTCAAGGAAGGGGGTGGAAAAGCTAAGTCGGGGAGATGTGGGGGTAGCGGAGGAGGTGGAATGGGGGCCTGGGGTGCAGGGGGTGTTGGAGGAGGGGCTGGTGGCTCTAGGGGAGGAGAACACGGAGAAATCATTTGAGAGTCTATGGCATGGGCTGGAAAGTCAAGAATGGGAGAGAGAACGATCCTCCAAAATGAGTTGGTCTCAGGGATGGAGATTCTGAAGGTTTTAGAGCTGAGTCCCAGAATTTAGTGGCCGAGCCATCATTGAAAGAACCATGGTAAAATTTGGAACCATGGGAGCAGGGAGGAGGCTGACTCAAATCAGGAGAGATCTGAGGGTTAACAGGGCAGGGTCCTTTAATCCGGAGCTAGATTTGTGCTATGCGGTTGGGTCGCAAGGCTCAAGGAGGGCGATTTAGTAGGAGTTAACTAATCCGGGACTCGATTTGGAAACTTCAGGGTCAATTTTGGGATATGAAGGCTCAGACCTGGGGTGAGGTGCCTAAACCGTGGGATTTAGAAGCCCAGGGCTGAAGACTGGGTTATTCACGCTCTGTAACCCCTCACACCGCAGGGCCGAGTTCAGAAACTTGGAGCTGACCTTTGAGCCAGACGTCAAGAGGTCAAAGGACACCGGGCAGGAAAAAGAGCCTACTTGTGGAGAAGTCCTAGAATCAGAGCGCAAAAGAACAAAGTCTTGCGGGCTGGGGAAGGCTCAGAAATCGGAGAGCGCTGGGAGCCGCGATACCGTTGGGGTAGAGAATAAAGTCAGGACCTAAAGGGCGCCTCCGCAACCCCGCAAAATGGCGGCCGCAGCTCACAACCTTTCACATGTCACGTGGTAGGACTCGCAACTCGTGCCCGCCCCTTTAGCGATCACGTGACAGAGAAGGCACGGCGGAGGGGAGGGTGGGGCTTCCAAAGGACTGTCTCCGGAAGAGACTGCAGCGCGAGCCGCGTCCCGATTGGCAAGAAGCGCGTGAGCGGGCGCAGCCTTCATTGATTGGCGCGGAGCCTCAGGCGCCGCAGCAAGCGGAGGGTTTGCGGGGAGTGGGCGGGGTTTTCCTGCCGAGGCGGGAACCTAAGTGCCCTTTTGATTGGCAAGATCTGGGCCCAGGGGCGGGACTTACTCTGATTGGTCAAGCTACCGAATTTCCGCGCGGGGATTGGCTTGCAGAAAGACAGAGGCGGGGCCAGGAGAGGAAGCTTTGTGGTCGGCCCTCAGAAGCGTAGCAGGCACCACTTGCGGGAGCTGTGGCTCTGTTTGTAAGTAATGTCGGGCGCAGGCGGCCATTGACGCTGGGCGGGCGTATCGCTTGGCGTCCGAGCCTTCTCGCTCCTAGTGTGGGGAAATTATTTTCCCACTGCGCGAGGCCAGGGCGCCGCAAAGTCGTCCCTCGTTCCTTAACTGGCTCTTACATCCGGGTTTTTTCTCCTGGGCCGCCCTTTGAGTGCGTGGGCCAATGGGAATCGCCACTTAGTACGCTCCGCCTACTGGGTCGCGTAGAGCATCCTGGGACTGGTAGTAAACCTCTCGAGATTTCCCTCACACGCGAGAAGGAGAAGCCGAGTGCTGCGTTGGCTTTGTTTCCCCGGCTTTGCCTCTCTCTTCTCTCCTACCTGCGTGACCTGACTTCCTCCTGGAAGGAAGATCCATAATCAGCCCGTTAAGCCCGCGCTGGGACAAAGGATTTGGAGAAAGCCAGGGCTGAAGTTACCTTTTTCCTTCTTTTAGCCCTACCTCACTCCATGGCAGTTCCCGAGACCCGTCCCAACCACACTATTTATATCAACAACCTCAACGAGAAGATCAAGAAGGATGGTGAGTTCTCGGAATAGTCCTGACTCCATGCTGTCCCGCAGGAGCTGGCCGCCTCTTCCATCCCCAGTATCTACTTCTTTTCCTGAGCTTCCTCCAGCCAAACTGTTAGAGTTGACCCCTCGGCCTTTGCACGTGCTGCTTCCGCTCTCTTTAACGCTCCTTGACCCCTCGGCCTTTGCACGTGCTCCTTCCGCTCTCTTTAACGCTCCTCAGCTCATCTCCCGCTCGGCGCGGTAATCTGGTCACTGTTGCTCGTCCTTCCAGGTTTCAGCTCACAGGACCCCTCCTCCAGGAAGCCGTGCCCATCCCCTTTCCCCTCAGGTGCCTGCCTCTGACTTCCCACGGGCCTTAGACATCCCCCCCTCAAGCCCTGATCGTTCTAGGCTGTCATGGGGCTGTCCCTCCGCTGGCCTTTGAGCTCCCTGAGGGTCAGAACTGGGACTGCCTTGGTCACTGTCGTGTTCTCAGCGATCAGACCGCAGTGAACGTGTTCCATTTCAAAATGAAAATGACAGACGTCAATTGAAAAAAAAAGAAAGTGAAATGAATAAATAATGATGGCTGACACTCTGTACGAGGCACTGATGTATGCATCTTTTTTTTGTGGTGAGGAAGATTAGCCCTGAACTAACATCTGTTGCCAATCCTCCTCTTTTGTTTTGCTGAGGAAGATTGGCTCTGGGCTAGCATCTGTGCCCATCTTCCTCTCCTTTACATGGGACGCCGCCACAGCGTGGCTTGATGAGCAGTGCACATGTCTGGGCCTGGAATCCGAACCTACAAACCCTGGGCCGCCGGAGTGGAGGGTGCAAACTTGACCACCACGCCACCGAGTAGCCCCTGATGTATAAATCTTGATCACGTTTAATTTTCACCACAGCCCTGCAGGAAGGACCTGTTAATACCTGTTTCTCACATTAGGAAACAGACTCAGCAGTGATGTGACTTGTTCAAGGTCACACAGCAAGGAAAAGTGGTTGAGGCCACCTGTGTGGAATTCTGAAGAAATCCATTCTTGACATCTGATGTACTCTCCCATTTTCTTCAGCGAGTTATTACCTTTATTGAACTTCATTTTCGGTATTTGAAAACTGGACAAAATTATAATTCCTTCTTTGCATGGACGTTACGGGGATTGAATTAGCTAAACCTTCATGCAGTGGTTATTTTTTTTCTTTTTTTGGTGAGGAAGATTGTCCCTGAGCTAACATCCGTGCCCATCTTCCTCTATTTTGTATGTGGGACGCTGCCACAGCGTGGCTTGATGAAGGGTGTGTAGGTCCGCACCCAGGATCTGAACCCATGAACCCCGGGCCGCTGATGTGGAGTGTGTGAACTTAACCATTACGCCACCAGGCTGGCCCCCAGTGCTTGTTTTTATGGTACCTGGCAGTTAGTAGGAGTCTGATAAATGTTAGCTCTCACTGTCACCTCAAGAAAATTGCTGGCAGAACCAAAGGAGCTTACTGGGATGAAGTTTGAGGTTACTGATCAAGTTGCTATTGAAAACAAAGCAAGCCACGTAAATGCCCTGTGTGCTTTAAAGCATCGTGCCTAGCCAGCACCCTGTGGTGCTGGGGACACATTGGTGCCTGGTGCAGTCCTGGTCCTGCCTTCATGGAGCCACAGTCCAGTGTGGGTGAGAGACCCGCTACCAGACAGTGGTAGCCCAGAGGAGCCAGGGCCATGACTGGGGAGGCACAGGCCGAGCAGTCAGGGCTGGGATTGGCCACCTATAGAGAGATTCATTCAGTTTCATAGAGAAGGAGACATTTTGGAAAGGCCTTCCAGGTAGGAATCAGTATTTATGTGATGATGAGGGGGAAGAGTGTTCCTAACCTGGACCAGCATGTGCAAATATCTAGGGTCCAAAGAGAGCTGGGGCATTCTGGGAACTACAGGTAATTTTGTGTGCCTGAGGCCTAGAGGAGAAGCTTCCAGTGAGCAGTGCTCTGATGGCTCATGGGGCTTTGTGGGCCGGGTGTGGCGTTGGACTTCGTCCTGAGGGCCTCAGGGAGCCAGGCAACAGATGCAGTCAGTTGTGAAAGAGCTTCCAGGTGTGGAGGGTGAACGTGAGTGGGCAAGAGAGGAGCCTGGGGAGAGCCCAGGGTCCAGTGGAATGACTGAGGCCCCAGCTGGGGTCACGGGGATGGGGAATGGAGACAAAAACCAGAAATAGCACCAGGAGAATTTTTGGTTAATTATTTCCCCTCAGACTCACTCGCCCCCACACACACATTTTCTTTTCTTCCCTCCCCTAGAACCCGTTTCACCAAACATCTTCAGCTCAGGTACCTTCTTTGCATAAGATGGGTACCCTTTTCCTGCTTGGGTGGTGAGAGAGGTCTTCCCTTGGTAGAGCTCGACGACTCCTTGCTGTCAAGTGATGAGGCATTTTGCTAGTGAGGTGTGGTGGTACTGGGTTCAGATGGACCTGGTCCTGGTCCCAGCTCTGCAGGGCTTTCCCACCACCCTCAGGACACTTGTCCTGGGCCAGTGACAAATCCTCTGGGAGCCTGTTTCCACGTTTGTGAAATTGAGACAGTTGTAGTTGCTACTCGTGGAGTTGTGAGAATTTAATGAAGTTATTTCCATAAAACACTTAATGATATCTTTTTCCATGTAAATGTTTGTGGAGAAGTTTGTGTGCTGGAGTCTGCACTAAGCATGGCGATACTGCGGTCAACAAATGGGACAGGCTTGTAGCTCTTCAGAAGGAGAGCCGGACATCAAGTAAACAGACGTGTTAGGAGGTGGAAAATGCCATGAAGGAAAAGCAGGTAGGGTACGAGGAGGGGGAAGAGTCACATGAAGGCACATTTCTTTTTTTTTTTTTTTAAAGATTTTATTTATTCATTTTTTTCCCCCCAAAGCGCGAGTAGATAGCTGTATGTCATAGGTTCACATCCTTCTAGTTGCTGCACGTGGGACTCGGCCTCGCGTTGGACGGAGAAGCGGTGCCCTGGGGCGCGCCCGGGATCCGAACCCGAGCCGCCAGCATCAGAGCGTGCGCACTTAACCGCTAAGCCATGGAGCCGGCCCAGAAGGCACATTTCTTTAGACGCGTGGTCAGGCAAGGCCTCTGAGGTGGCAACATTTCTGCTGAGACCTGGGTGACTAGAAGGAGGCAGCCATGTACACATCAGGAGAAAGGTGTTCTTGGTAGAGGGAGCAGCCAGTGCAAAGGTCCTGAGGCAGAAATTGGTGTGTTGGGCCTGAAAAAGGGCTGGGAGGCCAGTGTGGCTGGAGATACGGGAGTGAGATGGAGCGTGGAGAGAGATGAGGTTGGAGAAGTCAGCCAGGGCAACATCATCCAGGCCTGTGTCAAGGTGCTGTGGACAATGAAAAGAAGTATATGATGGGGGCCGGCCCTGTGGTGTAGCAGTTAAGTGTGCGCACTCCGCTGCTGGCGGCCCGGGTTCGGATCCCGGGCACACACCGATCCACCGCTTGTCAAGCCATGCTAGGGTGGCGTCCCATATAAAGTAGAGGAAGGTGGGCACGGATGTTAGCCCAGGGCCAGTCTTCCTCAGCAAAAAGAGGAGGATTGGCATGGGATGTTAGCTCAGGGCTGATCTTCCTCACAAAAAAAAAAAAAGAAGTATGTGACGCATTTATGGAGCAGTTGCTATGTGGCCTTTGTATGTGTGAGTCGTTCCTCATACGGCAGTTCTGTGGGGTAGGTATCGTTACTGCCCGCCTCTTACAGAGGATGCACACGACCGCTTGAGTGGTTCTTGGCTGCTGCTGGTGTTGCTGCCTCTTGAGGGATTCCTGACCCGCGGCATTCTGAGTAGGCTGTCTGTTGGCTGATGGTTTCTCTTCTGGGCTACACTTTCCTCTGAAAACGGGAGCTCAACCATACCAAGGCCTCTAGTCACCCGTGGGTCTTTCCTTCCCCACTGCAGAGCTGAAGAAGTCCCTGTATGCCATCTTCTCCCAGTTTGGCCAGATCCTGGATATCCTGGTCTCGCGGAGCCTGAAGATGAGGGGCCAGGCCTTCGTCATCTTCAAGGAGGTCAGCAGTGCCACCAACGCCTTGCGCTCCATGCAGGGCTTCCCCTTCTACGACAAGCCCATGGTGAGCGCCGTGGGCGTGGAGGGTGTGTGTGTGAGCGTGTGTGTGCGAAGCGCTGTAGGAGCCTAGATGGGCCTGGACTTCTGTCACCTGTTGTCCAGTCCCTTGAGGATGGGAGTCTCTCTTCCTGTTCCTCAGTGTTCTCTGTTCACTGTACTGGGGTGTGGGGGCGTGGGGACGCACAGTGACCAAGGGAGCCCCCAGCCCTGCCCTCTCAGACCCACAGTGCTGTGGGAGAGACAAGCCTGTCACCAGATGGCGACAACCCAGAGGGGTCAGGGCTGGGATGGGGGAAGTGCATAGAGCTGAGGTTGCTCAGGGGAGACACCTCACCTGGTCTGGGGTTCAGGGAAGGCTTTCTGGATGAGATAAGACTCGAAGGAGAGGAAGAGTTAGCTGGGGGAGGGGAGGGAGAAAGTGTTAGGCAGAGGGACTGTGTGGACTTAGGCCCAGAGATAACCAAGAGCGTATGTACTTGAGGAAGTGAGTCAAGTCCGTTTGGCTGGAATGAAGGGTGGGAGGTGGTGGTGGGGGCATGACCTGGAGAGCATGTCAGAAGTCAGGCTAAGGAGCTGGAGTTTGTCCCGAAAGTGCAGTTGATTCCAGGGGTGCTGGGGAGCCATGGAAGGGTTTAGGGAGGTGCCTGTGGCTGTTGGGTGGAGTGGATTAGAAGAAGGCGATTAGGGCCCACTTGTCAAGGGGAAACTAGGTTAGAATCCCAGGTGTGAGGAGTTGGGCCAGGACCAGGGCAGGGGCCGTGGGATGGGAGGAAGGGGGAGGGTTGCAGATGTTAAGAGGCCAAATGGACGGCCAAGGGGAGTGCAGTCTGTGGGGTGAGGAGTGGCTTGGAGTCCCTGCCCTGAACTAGAATTCTGCCATATCACTGCAGACCTCTGTGGTTCTTCAGGCCTTTTCCCTTGTCCCTCAGGCAGTTTTCAAGTTTCACCTGATTGGAATATGCTTCCCTGGACCAACTCCCCTGGGGAGGTGACAGCAAGTCTCAGCGTGTGCAGGTCCCAGGCAGGTCACTCATGTGGAAGAGAGTGGGCCTGGGGCCAGCAGGGCAGCCTGGAGCCCTCGCCTCCCTCTGGAGAGGGCAGCACTTCGACTCCTGCCTATTGTCGCGTCTGGAGTTGCCATATCTTCCATTGTCTTTCTAGAGCAGCTAGGAATTAGCTTTTGAGGTGTAAAAACTGTCAGCCCTTTTGTCTTGATCCCCTCCCCCTCTTTTCTTCCCAAATAATGGCTTGGACCATACCAGGTGCTCAGGTATCTGTGATTTCTGTCAGCTTGACCTTCAGAACATCCCCCCGGCTGCCTACTTCTGACTCCTGCCCCGCCACCCACTGGAACCAGCCACCACCCTCCCTCGTCGGTTCTGTGGCAGCAGCCTACCTGCTGGTCTCCCTGCCTCGACCCCTGCTCCTCACTGGCTGTTCTGCATACCACAGCCATAGCACTGCTTGCAAGACACTCCATGACTCCCGGCTTTCTCAGGAAAAGACAGGGTCTCACCCTGGTCCCCAAGGTCCCCTGGTGCCTCTGTGACCTTGTCTCCTCCCTCCTCGTCCACAGTAGCCTCCTTGCTGTTGTTTCTTAAAAATACCTTGCACGCCTGAGCTCTTTGATGGCTGTTCCCTTTGCTAGAATGCTCTTTCCCTAGATGTCTACATGTCTCTCTCCCTCCCTGTGTGTCTACACCAGTGTGACCTCGCTGAGGTCTTTGCTGGCCACACTCCCTGAAAATTTCAATTCTTCTGAACACTTCACATCCCCTTCTCCAATTCTATTTTTTTGTACTTTAGCTTTCCTTTATTCCAATGTAACGTAGTTATACACAATGTTCTTCAGGAAATGGGGTAATGTTACCTTCTTTTTCTTCATAGCCCAAGGCACAGAGTGAGAGAGGCTACACGCTCAGGGAGTAGTAGGGGCCAGGCACGAATGTGAGTCAAGGTGGCAGTTGTAGGAAAAAACAACTGCTGGAAAATATCCAACTGCAGTGGGTATAAAAATACAAATATCTGACAATGGAAGTTATATTTTAATACTAGTTTGGAAAAAAATAGCAAATTGACAAATATTTAATAATTAATATTTCTTTGCAACTAATTTCTCCTTGAGATTTGAAACCTGACACACCTTTCCTTCTGCTTCCTGATGTCGGTGTCAGATCTTGTATTTTGAGTTGTTTGGTATAGGATTCAGCCTTAAATCCTTTAATTAGGAGCAATACTTCATTTTCATCATGAAAAATACTCACTAAATAGGTGCTTTTAAACAAGGAGGGAACCTTTTGCACAGTGACTTTTTAATATATCCAGTTCAATTTTTTTTCTTGTTTTCTTCTTTTTTTTTTCGCTGAGGAAGATTCGCCCTGAGCTAACATCCGCTGCCAGTCTTCATCTTTTTGTATGTGAGCCACTGCCACAGCATGGCCACTGACAGATGAGTGGTGTAGGTCTGCACCCAGGAAGCGAACCTGGGCCACCAAAGCAAAGTATACTGAACTTAACCACTAGGCCACCAGGGCTGGCCCTCCAGTTCACTTTATCATCTTCTTTGTCATGTCTTCCCCACAAAAGCAGGGCTTTTGTCTGACATGCTCATTGCTGCACCCCCAGAGTATAGATTCTCCACAAACACAAATGAGAGATTTAGACTAAACTGTTCTTGTGTGACTGGAAACCCCCTGCATAGTGCTCCTGTCCTGGACGTGTTTCTGGGGCTTCTGCCTTTGGCCTGATGATCAGGCTGTCCCATCTTGCCTTCAGAATCCCAGCAACCCCCTAACTGAGCACTTACCACGTGCCAGGTACTGTTGGAAGCACCGTAACTGCTTTAGTCCTCACAGTCATCCTTGGAAGTGGGAATATCACAATCCCCATTTTCCAGATGAGGACGCTGAGGCCAAGTGGTTTCTATAACGTGGCTCACCAAGCTCCCGGGAAGGTCTCCCTTTGCACCCAGGCGAAGTGGCTCTGAAGTCCACTCCCCTGAACGCTTCTGCTGTTTGGCAGCGCATCCAGTACGCCAAGACTGACTCGGACATCATTGCCAAGATGAAGGGCACCTTCGTGGAGCGGGACCGCAAGCGCGAGAAGAGGAAGCCCAAGAGCCAGGAGACCCCAGCTGCCAAGAAGGCCGTGCAGGGCGGGGCAGCTGCCCCCGTGGTGGGCGCTGTCCAGGGGCCTGTCCCGGTAAGCCGGGGCCCAGAGACGCAGCCCTCTCCCCACCAGGCCTTCCTCAGCCACATGGCCTGGCTTGGGGCCGGGTGGGAGGGGTGTCCTCTGGGGGTAGTTGAGCACCTGGATAATGATCCCTGCACTCAGAAATGCCTGTCCCTGCCTGCTGGCTTGCCTGCCTGTTTCTCAGGATCTTTCTTTCTCTGTGTCTCAGTCTCTTGGTCTCCTTCACCTTGATTTTGCCAGGTGTCTTTTAAGTCAGTGTCTGTGTAGCAAATCCAGAGGAAGCTACTAACGAAGAGTTAGGATTAATAAGTGAATTTAATTTGGCAAGATTGCTGTATATAAGGTCAATATGGAACAAGCAAGTAGACTTCAAATTGAAAAATGGCACTGAGGAGTAAATCCAACAAAAGATGTGCAGAACGGCCACCCTGAAGCTACAGAACGTTGCTGAGAGAGCTTGGAGATGACCTTAGTTAACAGGTGGAAAGGCTCACTGTGGGAAGGCTCACTGTTGTTAAACTGTCATTTCTAGATCTAAGATTCAACACAATTCCAATCAAAATCCTAACAGGAGTTTTTGGGGACACTGACAGGCTGTTTCTAAATGCTTGTGGAAAGGCAAAGCAAGGCAGATGAGGAGGAGAAAGCCAGGGGACCTGTCATGGTAGTCAAGATGGTGAGGTATTGGCATAAGGGTAGGAAGGTGGACCAGGGGTGCAGAATAGAGTCCAGAAGCAGATCCACACGTGTATGGTTCCTCCATGTGTGATGAAGGTACCCCTGCAATCCAGTGGTAACGGACTTTTTCCCCTAATAAGTGATGCTGGGCCAGTTGCACGTCTGTAAGGGAAAAAATTAGCCCTACTTCAACTATATATAAGTTAATGTGAGATGAATCATAGACCCGAATGAGACAGCTAAAACAAGAAAGGTTCTAGAAGAAAACAGGAAAATGTCTTCAGCTTTGGTAAGGGCATGACAAGTGGAAGCATCCTGTTTTCTAAACAGGATACAGAAAACACCAAGTACTACAGAAAAGGTGGATGAATTGGACCCCCTCCCTAGGTCTCTGCGTCGGCTTTCCTGATAGGTCTCGCTGTTTGTCCAACTGACACTTGCTCTGGTGTCAGCGGTGGTGTCTGGGTTACTGTTGAGCTTCCCCACTCTCACCCTCCCCTCTTTGTGCCCATCTTTCTGTCCACATTTGACTCTTCAGATTGTGGTTCCTGTTCCGGCAGCCCCCATCTCCCCTGGGTGCACGGGCTGTGTGCCATCCGACCGTCTCCCTTCTTCCCGCACCACCACCCCTCCCATTTCTCTCTGCACCTGCCCTTCCCAGCTCTGCCTTCCACTGTTACTTTTCTCTGTAGGTCTCTGAGTCTCTTTCTTTTTCCTTAAAGTTTATTTTTAGAAGCAAAAGTACAGCATGCTACTGTGGTGTTTATCTCCACCCTTTTTAATTAATGTTTTGATTTCTTTCATAGTCTATTTTTCTACTCATATACTTAGAAACAAAGTTAGGTCATACTGAGTAATTTTTTTTTCTTTGTTTTTTTTTGGTGAGGAAGATCGGCCCTGAGCTAATATCCGCTGCCAATCTTCCTCTTTTTTCTGAGGAAGATTAGCCCTGAGCTAACGTCTGTGCCCGTCATCCTCTATTTTGTATATGGGATGCTGCCACAGCGTGGCTGGATGAGTGGTGTGTAGGTCTGTGCCCGGGATCTGAACCTGCGAACCCTAGGCCGCTGAAGCGGAGCGAGCGAACTTAACCACTATGCCACCAGGCCAGCCCCCTGACTATAGTTTTTATGTTAAAAATTTTTTTAACTCTTTGTGATTGGATGTCCCTCCGTGACCCTGGGTCTGTTTTGCCCCATCTAGCTCTCATTGGGTGCCTTTTTCACCTCTCTCCGAGTCTGGATCTTTCTCCCTGTGTCTCTCACGCCCCGGGTTTCCTCTAACAACCTTTTCTCCTCTCACCTCCTGCTGACACCGAAAGCAGGTCTCCTGCCCCGTGCTGGCCTCCAGCTCAGTCCTGCCCTCCCTCTCTCCACAGGGCATGCCGCCCATGACGCAGGCCCCCCGCATCATGCACCACATGCCAGGCCAGCCTCCCTACATGCCGCCGCCAGGCATGATCCCGCCGCCAGGCCTCGCCCCCGGCCAGATCCCACCGGGCGCCATGCCCCCGCAGCAGCTTATGCCGGGGCAGATGCCACCTGCCCAGCCTGTAAGTGTCTAGTCCTCCTGGGGTCTCGTGTAAATAGTCAGAACATGAGGACAGACGGACTGGTGGGGATGCTGTTGTCGGTTGGGTGGTCTGGGCAGGCCTCCCTGAGCAGCTGCTGTTGGAGGATGAGGATGAGGGTGTGCAGTGGGGTAAGGCCCTGGGGCGGAGAGGGATTGGCATGTTTGTTGGAGGAGCTTTGGAAGTTCAGGGTGAGGCTGGAGCAGCAGCCAGCACCTAGATCCATCCAGCGAACTTCTGCTGGGCACCTGCTTATGGATACGGCAGTGCCCCCTGGTGGCTTCCAGTGTAGTGGGGGCAAGGCGGGGTAGACAGCAACGACATAGGGCATGTCAGGTCAGGGGCTAGAAGGAATTCAAGCAGGGTGGGGTGGAGAGCAGGAGCACAGTGGATCCCCCACTAGACTCACGGGCTCCCGTCGCTCCCTCGCAGCTTTCAGAAAATCCACCAAATCACATCTTGTTCCTCACCAACTTGCCGGAGGAGACCAACGAGCTCATGCTGTCCATGCTCTTCAACCAGTAAGTGGGGCCTGTGGCTGGGCAGGGGCTGGAGGGTGATGGCCCCAAGGGGACAGGCCTCAGAATTCTAGTGGTAGAGCCTAGAGGCTGCTTAGGCTTTGTACTCGGGACCACGACCTGAGGCATAAAAGGAGGAGGCTGAGGCCAGGCCCACAGTCCGTGGGGGCGTGGTGGTGACCAGGCTGGAGGTTGGCAATGGGCCATCTTCCGCCTTCATGGGGGGTGGGGGGGGTCCAGGCTCTGGGCCTCATCTTTCCAGTCTGTAAAGTGGAGAGATGCAAGGTGCGTATAAAACAGCAGCGAGATGTCACTGAACACGGGCTGGACTGACAGAAATCGGTGCGCTCAAACTGCAAGTGTGGGAGGGGGATGTTTGAACCCGTGATGCTGATGGGATGTAGACCGCTGTGGCCGTTGTGTGGGGTAACTGTTCACTGTTCAGTCCACTTAGCAGGGGCTTGTGCCACCTGGCAGCTCTGGTTCTGAGCGTATATTCTAAAGAAATTCTTAACACGAGTCTCAAGGGGGTGTGGTGGGGCATTCCTTACAGTGTGTTGGGGAGCCGGAGGCAGCCTGGGAGAAGGGAGAGGTCAGTGCGGAGGCTCACCGTGGTGTGCTCTGCGGCAGTTATGGGAGCAGAGAGAGCAGTACGCCTGATTCTCTATAATAGCGCCGAGAGGAAATGATGAGAAACCGGATGAAACAAAAAAACAATACCACACGTGTACACCGAGTCCACAAAACAATACGTGTTTTGTAAGAATGCTGATGGAAAAAAGGATGCCCAGTCAACGTGAGGGTGGTTGCCTAATGGGGAAGGAAGTAGGGAAGGGAAGAGGGAAATGAAAGAACAGATCGTAAGAGTCAGGGTAGCGGTTATTTCTGGAGCGGAGGTGGGTGGGTTATGGTTCGGGAAGGACGGGGCTGGGGCAGTGTTGTTCCTTGATCTAGATTATGGTCGCATGGGTGTTGATGTTAAAGTTTTTCATTAAATGATATGTTTATGCTGTATGCACTTATTTACATTAGGGTTTCTCAACTTAGCACTGGTATATACATTTGGGGCTGGATAATTCTTTGTTATTGGGGCCATCCTCTGCATTGGAGGATGTTCAGCAACATCCCTGGCCTCTACCCACCAGATGCCAAATGTTAGGGGGAAATGCTGACTCTGGATCCCTGAGGTCTGTCCCCTTCTCTCAGGTTCCCTGGCTTCAAGGAGGTCCGGCTGGTCCCTGGGCGGCACGACATTGCCTTCGTGGAGTTTGACAATGAGGTGCAGGCAGGGGCTGCTCGCGACGCCCTGCAGGGCTTCAAGATCACCCAGAACAATGCCATGAAGATCTCCTTTGCCAAGAAGTAGCACCCTTTCCCCATGTCTGCCCCTGCCCCCTGTTCTGGGGCCACCTTCCCCCCTCCCCGGCTCAGCCCCCTGAAGGTAAGTCCCCCTCGGGGGCCTTCTTGGAGCCGTGTGTGAGTGAATGGTCGCCACACAGCATTGTACCCAGAGTCTGTCCCCAGACATTGCACCTGGCGCTGTTAGGCTGGAATTAAAGTGGTTTTTTGAGGTTTGGTTTTTCACAACCATTTGTTTTTATTTTCTCGTCGTCTCTGTTTCCCTTCCCTGCACATCAGAATATTCTGGGTATTTGGACCTCTCAGCATGTTGTGGATTGCAAACTTGGGAAAACACAGAAATGTAGTAATATTGTCCAAGGTTAGGTCCCCTTTACTACTTTGGCAGATTTCTATTTTGTCTGAATCAGCATTCAGGGCAGGAAATTGAAACCCAGACTGCCATGTACAGTTGGGCAGGTTCTGTACTGCACAGGGATGCCACCTTTAATGGCACACCATTCACTTTGTAGATGTATATGTTTATGCTGGTAATTTTCTAATGCGATAGTGTTAAGGAAGAGGTTTTTCTTCACAGAAGTGCCTTCTGTAGTAGAAAGAGTCCCACAGAAACCACTCGAGGGATGTCAAGAAGAAAGGGAAGTGAATTGGGTGCTCATGAAATCATTGGAAGGATAGTAGGCATGGCAGTCTGTGTTTGAGACACTTGAGTTGAAGTCTGCAGCCCCTGATTGAGCTGCAGTCTAGAGTTCAGGAAGATGCCACTGCTCTAACAGCAGAGCCCAAACTGACCTGCTCACACCTGGGAAACTACTGACCAGACGCTGGGACAAGGAGTGTGGCCACTCTGCAAACATGGCTGATCTCCCTTGCTGGCCAGCCCCCAGCCAGGAGCTCGGGTGAGTGGCTGAACCAAGCTCCCCTCTGTGCCCTAGCTTTGGGAGAGTCTAGGAAATGTCGGTTCTGGCTAGACAGTCATGTACTCAGCTGAAGCTATGGATAAGAAGGGGAGATCGAATGGGGGACCTCCCTTAGCGGTCTGTCCTACACCCGACCTGGAAAATTTTAAATTGACTCAAAAACAAAATGTTGCTTAAGACCCTTTCTCATACCAAATAGATGGGAAAAGGAGATCGTTTGCCAGAAGTAGAAAATTAACCACAAAAATAAATACAGTAAGACATAGTGTTATTCTCTTGGGATATTTTTTCCTGCCAAGGCTCTAAGCCCAGGCCTGCTCCTGCTCTGCTTTCTCCATTAAAGAGGAACATCAGTGTTTGAAGTGATGGAGACTTCTGGCACCAAATGCACACCTTCTCCCTGTAGGATCTGAAAGACTGAGAGGAGAGGGATTGCTGTCCTCACAAAAAGGCACAGTGTTACTGCAGACGACAAGTGGAAACATCTCACCCCCTCAGAGACAACCACGGGTGCTGTGGTCAGCAGATCCTGGTTTCTGCTTTCTCCCTCGGGGACTCCTTAGCTGTTCCCCACGGGCAATTGATGCCCCCATCCTGAGCTTCATTTTCTAGCTCGGTAAAGAGAAATCTCTCCGTGTTCACACTGTGATATTTGTACTCGTCACTCCCTCCAACGCGCACCCCCACTGCCAGGCACTTAGCAAGCACTCAATAAATTCAGCGATACTTGCCGAGTACCTGTTATGTGCTAAATACTGTTCTTGGTGTAGGATAGGCAGTGGTGAATAAAATAGACAAGCTAATGTCAAAAACTGTTCTGATACAAACAACTGACTTAATGGAGCAATGTGGTAGGGCTCGGGAACAGTGGCTGGGGGGGATCAAGGAAAGTCCCTCTGAGGAGGTGACATTTGAGTAGAGCTGTTGTACGCTCTTGTACTTGATGCTGGCTGGGTGTTGGGTATGTCGAGATGGCTTAGGCCCAGTCTTTGCCCCTGATGAAGTCTTCCCCACCCCAAGCCTGTGTGTGTCCATCCTCTTCCCTCCCTAAAAAAAGTTGGCACTTGCCGTCCCAGAGGGGAGAGAATGCCTGGAGAAAGAAGTGGATGCTCAGAATGATCTCAACACAGGGCTCTCTATCTGAAGTCTGGTTTTAGAGGTGAGACTTGAGTTCAGATCCTCCTACACTTGCTCATTCTGACCTTGGACCCCTGAACTCCAAGCTCAGTGGTGGTGGGTCTGGTCCTGGAGCCAGATCTAGCCCCTCACTTCCTGGCTCTAACCTTCGACAAGTTCCTTAAGGCTCTATGCTTCCATGTCCATGTAAATTGGGGTTATGATAGCCCCTCTTGGGGTGATGCAGAGTATCCATTTGAGTTAATAAGATAAAAATATACATGGTGAATGCTCTATAAATAACTATTAGCTCTTATTATCCCTGTTTTACAGGTGAGGCTCTGAGAGGAGAAATGGCTTAGCCCAGGTCACCGGGTCAGGAAGTGGCTTGTGAGGATAAATGGTGATCTTGGTAGGGCATCGCTGTAGCCTCAGGCCCACCATGTAATCTCTCAGTACTTGAAAGCTGGGGCTGTTCCTGGCAATCAAAGGGCTGCCTTGTTCTCCTGCCCCTCAGCACAGGAAATTCCAAGGTGGTTTTCCATACTGGCTCCTCTGGTTCTGTCCCTGGAGGGGAGAGCAGAGGGGCCCAGGTACCCAGGCTGACTCAGGAGAAGGTGGAATTGGATATCTCAACCTGCCTATCTGGGCCTGTCTGATGGTTGAGGGGGTGGCCGGCACTTGGAGTGGCCTGGGCTCCTTTGGGCCTACTGGGCATTTCCTTGGGCAGGCAGCCCTCACCCTGTCCTTGAAATGGTTCTGGCTGGGTAGCAGCCTCCAGGTGGTGTGGGCGAAATTTGGGACTGGTTTAGGGCGGGGACAAGACAGAGAACACAGGTTTCCTTGTACTGCTGGAGAGAAGGAGGGCAGGAGGAAATTGGAGACCCCATTCCCCCTTGGTCAGTCTTGCTCAGAATCCACGATGGCTTGGTCCCTGGTGTTCCTCGGTGTCATCATCTTGCTGTCTGAGTTCCCATGGCCTAGTGTTGGAGGCCCCATGCCCAGGCTGGCTGATCGGAAGCTGTGTGCCGATGAGGAATGCAGCCGTAAGAGTTGGGGGCTACGGGGATTGGGGACTTGGGTTGCTGTCCTGTGTGGAGGGTGCCGTCATTCCCTTCTATTCCTTCCCCAGACCCCATCTCCATGGCCGTGGCCCTTCAGGACTACGTGGCCCCTGACTGCCGTTTCCTGACTATACACAGGGGCCAAGTCGTGTATGTCTACTCCAAGCTGAAGGGCCGAGGGCGGCTCTTCTGGGGAGGCAGTGTGAGTCTTGGGAGAACAGAAGAGAAAAGGGTATGGGGCTGGGGTGGGAGTGCACCCTAATTTTCCACCTGAAGGGAAAATTTGAGGGAGTGAACTGAAATAGAGAGTTTTGGGGCTATTGTGATCTTTAATTGCACTTTGTTTAGCAATTGTGGGGTACCTACTATGGTGCCAAGTTCTGTTCTAGACACTGAAGATACAACAGCGAATGATCCCTTTCATTCTAATGGAAGGAGACACGTCCTCAAAAATATCAGCAGATACGTGCTGCTTTGAGAATACAGAGAGACTAGATGACTACTTTACATCAGGTGGTCAGGGAGGGCCTTTAAACTGAGATCCAAATGATAAGGATGGAGCCAGCCATGTGGAGATCAGAGAGAAGAGATAGTGCAAAGGTCTTCAGCAGGAATGAGCTTGCCACCTTCCCAGACCCGGCCCTATAACTCCTCTTTTCCAGGTTCAGGGAGATTACTATGGAGACCTGGCTGCTCGCCTGGGCTATTTCCCCAGTAGCATTGTACGCGAGGAGTCGATACTGAAACCTGGAAAAATCGATGTGAAGACAGATGTGAGTGTCTTGGGGGCGGGCAGGAATCTGGAGGGAGGACCCTTGGGTTGTGATGATGGGCAAAGATGCCTCTCCCTTTGGCTCCCGGGCAGCCTAGCTGTATGCGCTGGGACAAATTCCCTGCCTCAGTTTTCTTATCTGTAAAATGGGGAGTGATTTCTAAGTCCCGGTGCAGCTGAGAGGTGCAAAGATTAGAGGGCTCTGGGCTAATTTGCATAGCACTTGTGTGGCCAAACCCGGCGCCTGCGCCACTAAAACCACTAGATCCTTTGTGGTGTGATGCTGGTTTTCTCCCCACCGTTTCCCCTTTCTCTTTTTCAGAAATGGGATTTCTACTGCCAGTGAGCTCAGCTTACCGCCATCCCTGCTGTTTTGTTCTGCCCGGCTTTATGCAAATACATCAGCCGAATGCAAACTGCTGGTCTCTGTGGTCTTTGTGGTGGGGAAATATAAAGGAAATGTTTCCCCAGGTTCCTAAATCTAGCCAATCAACCGACTGACTGTGGTCGCGTCAGTGGTTGCTAGGCAGAGTTCCACTGACTAAAAGCTCTTTGCTGCTCTGGGTACTGGAGGTGGGCTCCTTAGCTTAAGTATCACACACAAGCAAATGAGAAAACAGCCCAATTGGGGGATGGTAGTGCCCTCTCTAGACCAATGGGAGGGAGTTGAACTATTGGGAATGAGCCAATCGGACCATGAGGAAGACATAAATCGCAGAGCAGAGGTTTTCTTGGCAGATTATCTGCAAAGGGAGGTGGGAGGTTAATTTGCGTGTATCCCCCCAATTTTCATCCTTCTTGCCTTTGAGGTCAGAAATCGCGTTCGCCAGCTCAAGATCCGCTCGTCTTCCAGGCTCTTTCTATCAGTCCTGCCCGTACCCCCTTCTTTGCCTCCGTATCCCCGCCCGATGTCCGCTCCTACCCAATCTGGAGTCTGACTCTGCCCCCCGACTCCTGAGCAAATCCGTTCCTGTGCTCGGCGGAGCATCCTGTGCTCGGCGGAGCATCCTGTGCACCGCCCCTTCCCACTCCCTCCGCCAATCGCTCGCCTTGGTCCCGACCCTCTCGGCTCGTCCCCTCTCACGCCGCCAATCCGCGCCTTTCGCTCCGCCCCCCGGCCGCCGAGTCCGCCAATCCCTGCCCTCGGGAAGCGTGGCCCGGTATCCCGCAGCCCTAGCGGGTCGCGGCGGAGGGGGTTGGAGGCGGAAGTGGCGGCGCCGGGCCCCGGGAGTAGGAAGGAGCCGGGGCTGCAGCCGGAGTGGAGCGGCTGCCAGCCGAGGAACAGGCGCGGCCGCGGCGCCATATTGCGGCCCCCAGCGGCCGCGACCGAGTCATGGCCGAGACCTACGGTGAGGGTGGTGGGCCGAAGCTGGGGTCTGGGGTCTACGGTCGGGCCGGGGGAGGATGCGGCCTGTGGAAATGGGGCGGGGCTTTGTATATCCGGGGGCGGGGTCTGGTAATGTGGGGCAGGGCCTAGTGGATGCTGGGAGGGGTTTAGTGGGTCTGAGGCTGAGCTTCATCGATTTGGGCGGAGCCTGAGGGTCTGGTGTGTGGTTTAAATAGATCTGGGGCGGGATTTGAGGGAGCCAGTCACGGTGGATCAGGGTAGGCCTTGAGGGAAAGGGTGGGCCTTAATATCTTGGGCGGAGCCTGAGAGGATGGGGCGGGACTGACTGGCAGGGGTCGAGATTGATGGGTTAGGGGGAACCGTGAAGGGACGCTCTGGACCCTGGACTGCTCTGGTTTGAGAGATCTGGAGTGGGGTTGGGGATGAGTTTCCTTGAATTAGGGGCTGGGACTAGTGGCAAGGAGTGGGGCTTAAGCTTGAGAATATGGTCAGGGCCTTGGGCAGAGGGAAGGAAGGAGGGACTGAGAATTGGAAAAGCAGGATGGGTGGTTAGGAGGTGGGACGACGGGGTGCAGTAGAAAGAGCACTGGTTTAGGAGTCAGAGGGAGCTGAATTCACTCAACAAATAGAGAAAAGCAGAGGGAACAAGTGAGAACCAGTTGTCATTTTCAGGGAATAGACTGAAGGCCAGAGGCTGGAGTGGAGTGACTGAGGCAGAGAGTGGTAGAAGGTGAAGTCGTGAGGGGCAAGGGCTAGATTGCAGACCTTGATAAAATGGCTTTCAAGAGGCTTTAGCCATGTGATTAGCTAAGACTTTGGACTCTGGAGCCAGTTGACCTGGGTTCGAATCCCAGCTCTGCCTAGCTGGGGGACCTTGAGCAAGTCAGTTAACCTTTCTGGCCTCAGTTTCCTCATCTGGAAAATGGAGATAATTATTAGTGTAGCCCCCTCGTAGAGTTTTCCTGAGGATTAAATGAGCTGTTGATGTAAGCAAAGAACTTTAGAACTGCCTGGTACCTGGTAACACTAGATAAGAATGATCTGTTACTGTTGTTAACCGTTGCTCGGTTTCTGCCTGTGTCTGTTTCTCTCCCTGTAAGTGTGACGGTTTTGTTTTCTCTCTTTTCCCCTGTATTTCTCTCCTCGAATGGGTTTCCCTGATTTTGGCTCCATCTGCCCAGACTTCCTCTTCAAATTCCTGGTGATTGGCAGCGCAGGCACCGGCAAATCATGTCTCCTTCATCAGTTCATCGAGAATAAGTGTGAGTTTCTGGGAATCGTCCTGGGAGCACTGAACCCTGGGTGTGGGTATGGCGTGGGACAGTGGCCATTGTGGGGTGGGCAGGGACAGGGCTGGCCATAGGAACAACTCCAGTGCTGGCTGCCTGCTCCTTGCCTTGGTATATGCTCTTTGCTAGGTCCCCCTAGAGCCTCAGTAACCCGAGCAGTGAGAACGGGTTTGTATGGGCTGAGGAGGCCTTGGAGGACAGGGAATCCTCTGAGCCGCTGCTCTGCCTCTTCTCTCCCTCCCACTCCCAGTCAAACAGGACTCCAACCACACGATCGGCGTGGAGTTTGGATCCCGGGTGGTCAACGTGGGTGGGAAGACTGTGAAGCTACAGATTTGGGACACAGCTGGCCAGGAGCGGTTTCGGTAGGTGGGCTGGGCTCCCAAGGAGAGAGAGACGGGGAGGGAGGGGTGAAGAGATGAGAGCAAATGAGAGAGAGAGAGGTGTGCAGAGTCACTTGGAGATAAAACAATAGGAGCAGGGAGACATTGAGAGGGCAGGCAAGGCAGAGGGAGAGAGACACTGTGATTAGCAGGTTCATATAGCCTGAGAGAGACAGATTCCTAGAGAGAGGACGACACAGACAGTGAGAGGAAAAGAGATTGAGAAAGAAGCACAATGAAGAGTGAGAGAGGCAGGGAGGGACCGACATGACCCTGGAGAGACTATGAGAGATAGACCCATCTGGCTGGAGGGATGGAGACTTGTGCCCAGGGAGGGATGAAGCCTGTGGAGAAAGAGATGTTTGGGGGGTGGGGGTGAACGGTAAAGATTGAGAGAGAATGACTAAAACAGAAAGGGAAGCTTGCAAGAGATACACACACTCAGAGAGGGAGAGACGAAGACAGACAGAGACTGAGAAGAAGAGAAAGATAAGGGAGATTAGGAGACACAAGAGAACCTGAGGCAGAGACAGAGATGGGGAGAGTGGGACAGGTATAACCAGAGAGATGGAGAAATGGATGTGTTGTGGGGAGAGAGAGAAATGCACAGGGCTCAGCACACAGTATGTCTTCAGGACATGTCTGCAGAAAAGGTAATAGACACATAGAAACCCTGAGTCTGGGAAACAGAGACCAAGAGCAGGAAAGAGAGACAAGGAATCCAGTTCACAGAGCAGTATGCTCCCTGGGCAGCCTTTAGTGGCTGCTAAGTTAACATTCGTGTGTGAATTCCTGGGTGAGGTGCGTGGAGCCCAGAGAGAGACAGAGGGCAAAGGAGAGACAGGTGTGCGGCGTGGGCTGGGTTTGCAGGAAGTGCTCAGTACATGCTTGTGGAACGATTGCATGAGTTCCAGAGGGACCCAGACTGTGACACAGGGAGATGCAGACTGTCAGCTACAAGAGGTCCTCCCCCAGACACAGCCAGACAGGGCCAAGTGGATGTCATTGCATAGCAGTTGGCCAGGACCGGGCAGAGGGGAGATGACAGAGAATGATGAATGAATGAATGAATGAATGGGAAAGCAAGGGTGAGGATGAGAGAGCCGGAACCAGAGAGAGCCAGAGCAATAGAGAATTAAAGACACACTCCTAAGAGAGACAGACAGAAAGATGGAGACCAATGAAGAGATACAGGAAGATGGGGACACAGAGAGAATCAAAGACAGGGAGAGACTCTGACAGGCAGCTAAGTGAGATAGAGACTGAGGGACTGCCTCAGAGACAGAGAAATTGTAGCGAGACCAGACCATGGCCAGGTTTTGGGGGATGGGCCAGCAGTGAAGGGGGGCCTCCGAACCACCAGTCTCTCTCCGCAGAGGGGGGCAGTCTCGGGGCAGACCCCAGCCTCAGGGGTGACTGGGTCCCCCTGGCCCCACAGGTCGGTGACGCGGAGTTACTACCGAGGGGCGGCTGGAGCCCTGCTGGTATACGACATCACCAGGTGGGTGTGCGGAGGGGACAGGGCGGGGCTGGGGCCGCCCCTCTCCTGCCGGGCCTCCCTCCTCTCTCCCTCCTCCACAGCCGGGAGACTTACAACTCGCTGGCTGCCTGGCTGACGGACGCCCGCACGCTGGCCAGCCCCAACATCGTGGTCATCCTCTGTGGCAACAAGAAGGACCTGGACCTGGAGCGTGAGGTCACTTTCCTGGAGGCCTCCCGCTTTGCCCAGGAGAACGGTGAGGGCTGAGCCATGGGCTGGCGGGCGAGGCGGACTCATGGAGGAGGGGACAGTCCACTGGGTCCCTGGGCCTCCCGGCTCTTTATGGCTGTGCCCGGCGGGGGAATGTGGAGATTTAGAGGTCTCGGTTCAAATTCGAGTGCTGCCACATACGAGCTGTGTGACCACTCTGGTCCTCAGTTTCCTCATTTGGAAAGTGGGTATCACAATGTTTCTGCCTCACATCATCCGTGATGGTTAAAGGGAGATGGTCCATGGAAAGCCCTTAGCACCTCCTACACAGAATAGGTACTTGATTAATGTTGGCTGCTAAGGTTTCCACCAGCATGGGGAGGCAGTGAGGGGTATTGGTGTAAGGTGGAGACTGCAAAGTCCGATGGCCCAGGGGACAGGCACTCTTTGTGAATAAGGGAAACGGGATGGAGTAGACCTGGGTTAGCAGGCACTGGCATTAGGGGAATGGACGAGACCAACAGCCACGTCAAAAGGTATGCAAGTATAATCTCATTTGAAGACATCGTAGGGCCGGCCCCGTGGCTTAGCGGTTGAGTGCGTGCGCTCCGCTGCTGGCGGCCCGGGTTGGGATCCCGGGCGCGCACTGACGCGCTGCTTCTCTGGCCATGCTGAGGCCGCGTCCCACATACAGCAACTAAAAGGATGTGCAGCTATGACACACAACTATGTACTGGGGCTTTGGGGGAAAAATAAATAAATAAAATCTTTAAAAAAAAAAAAAAAAAAAGAAGACATCGTGTTGGCCAAAGATCTGCTGGCTTTAGGATCTGCCCATGTTCCTCCAGTTTGTAATCTCCAAACTCGAGAGGAGGTTTTGCCATTAGAGAGATGTGGGTTTGAACCCTCGCTCTTACTTACTTACTGTGTGGCCATGTCACGTGGCTGATAGGTAGACTGTAGTGGGCCTGGGCCTGTGCTAGATGGTGCTAGGGACACAGTGACAAAGACAGCCTGGGCCCAGCTCTCATGGGCTCACAGTCCAGTAGGTGGGGGAGGGGGACAGGCCCATTTCCAGATGGTGACTGCCCAGAGGGGTCAGGACTGGGGTAGGGGAGGCACCGGGGCTGAGCCCAAAGGAGGCACCTGACCCATCCTGGGAGGTCAGGGAGAACTTTCTGGAGGAGGAGATGTGGGGCTGAGCTCTGAAGGAAGAGCTATGGGTACCTGGGGAGAGGGGCATTCATAGAAGGGGAACAGCACATGCAAGGGGTGAGGGCAAAGGAGGGGCATTTGAGGAACAGAATGAGAGGCAGCAGGTCAGAGTCGGAGTGGAGGATGGGGACTGACTGAGGCCCTGACCTTCCGAGCATCTGCCCCCCAGAGCTAATGTTCCTGGAAACCAGCGCTCTCACTGGCGAGAACGTGGAGGAGGCTTTCCTGAAGTGTGCTCGCACCATCCTGAACAAGATCGACTCAGGTGAGGCCCCCGACTGACCAGAGTGGGAGAGGAAGGCAGGGCCCAGGGGTCTCCAAGGGACCAGTCCTAACCTCTGCCCTCCTCCCTAGGTGAGCTGGACCCTGAGAGGATGGGCTCAGGCATTCAGTACGGTGACGCTTCCCTTCGCCAGCTGCGGCAGCCTCGGAGCGCCCAGGCCGTGGCCCCTCAGCCCTGTGGCTGCTGAGACCTGTGGAGCCAGGTGGGATACTGGGGACTTGGGGACTGCAGGGGGGTCTCCTGGCAAGGGGGAGTATGGAGGCGAGACAGAGACACAGGACAGGAGAGATGACGAGAAACAGAGTAAGAAAGAAAGATGCAAAAACACTTGAGTTAAAGGAGCCGTCTTTCCGGCCGCAGGGAACCCACCGCTCCTTTGAATCCCACTGCTAGCTCTCTGCCCTGGATCTCTGACCCTCCCATTCCTAATTCATCAAATATTTATTGAGTGTCTACTGTGGGCCGGGTCCTGTTCAAGCACCGGGGACACAGACAAAAATCCCAGCCCTGTTGGAGCTGACATGCTTTTGGGGGGAGACAGACAGTAAACAAGATACATACGTAAATGATATAGTAGTTAGGAAGATAAGAGCTATGGAGAAAAATAAAGCCAGGCAAGGAGAGGGGAAGGGGAGGAGTGGAATGTTATACACGATGATGAGGACAGGCCTCACGGCGAAGGTGACACTTGAGCAAAGACCTGAAGAAGGTGAGGGAGGGGGTCATGTGGGTCCCTGGGGGAAGAATATTCTAGGCAGAGAGAACAGCCAGTGCAAAGGCCCTGAGGTAGGGTTGTGCCTGGCCTGGGTGAGGAAGTCCAAGGAGGCCAGCATGGCTGGAGTGCAGTGTGTGTGTGGTGTGTGTGTATTGGGCGGGGAGGCGAGCAGGAGATGTCACGGGTCGGGGAAGCAGATCAGTTAGGGCCTTGTGGGCCACGGGGAGGCCTCCAGCTTATACCCTGGGTGGGATGGGAGCCATAGGAGCACTCTAAGCGGAGGAGGGACAGGATCTGACTCAGATGTTCACAGGGTCCCTCTGACTGCATGTAGAGGAGAGACTGTGGGGGGCAGGAGGCCAGTGAGGAGGCCACTGCAAAGTCAAGGTGAGAGACGATGGTGGACAGGACCGGGGGGCGGGGGTGGGCAGAGGAGGAACTGAGAAGTGGTTTATGTCCTCCCTGGTCTTTGTTTCCAGTCTTGTCCCCTCTTGGTGTAGCCAGCATGTCTTTCGAAAGCACAGATCTGATCCTGTCCTTCCCCTTTTTAAAACCATCCATGGCTCCCAGGGTCCATGGGACACAGCTGAGGCTCCTCAGCCTGGAGTTGGACCCCCTGCCAGCCTCCCCTGCCTCAACTCACACCCCTCCCCACCCCTCTGCGGGGTGGGTGTATATCTTCCCAATTCTCCCCTCTGCGCTTCCTGCCCACCCTCCCTCCCAGCCATTGGCAACTTCAGGGCGGCCACGGGGAAAGTGGTTAGACTTTGACTATCCTTTGAAGGCAGAGCCAATGTGATTTCCCGATGGAATGGATATGGAATTTGAGAGAGGGGAGTCAAGGGGGTGTGCTTTCGGGAGCTCTTTCTTCCTTCCAGGCCTTGGAGTCTGCTGTGTCCCCGGCGCACCCATCCTCCCACCTCCTTTCTTACGCCAACTCCCACTTGTCATCTGGTCTCTGCTCAGATGACTCTTCCTGTAGCAGGAAACCTTTATAGGCCTCCCAGCTGGGGTCACTCCCTCTAGCTGGGTGGTCTCACAACTGCCCCTTCCTTTTTAAAGCATTCAGCTCTGCACACTTGGTCATTATTATCTGTGTGGCATTCATCTTCCCCATCTGAAAAGGGCAGGAGGTGCCATATCACAGACTCCAGAGCCAGGCTGCCTGCGTTAAACTCCGGCTCTGTCTCTTCATATCTGCGTGACTCTGGGCACATTATTGAACCTCTCTGGGCCTTGGTTTCCTCATCTGTCAAATGGGGCTAATAATAGTAACCTACCTCAGGTGGGTGTTGAGAAGATTAATTAAGTTAATTCATGTAAAGTGCTTAGAACAGGGCCAGACACTTAGTAAAGACTCGATAAACGAGGGCTGTTGATTATTTTTCTTCTTATTACCCATTGTAAAGTCTCTGGGCTGTGTAGAACTGGGTGAGTGTGTACTGTTCACATCAGGACTTAGTATAGGGTCTGTTTCAGAGTTTGCCTCAGTGAATCAAATGTCATAAGACAGTGCTTTTTTCAAACTTTGTTGACTGCAATCTGCAGGAGAATATGTATTTTATACATCGATCTAATATAGTCACACACACGGAAAACTGAAACACACATTTTCCTAGTATTAATGTTCTTTTTTTAAAAAAATTGAGGTGAAATTCACATAATGTAAATTTAACCATTTTATTTTTTAATTTTTTTGTTTATTTTTTTTAAGGTTTGTATTTTTTTGAGGAAGATTGGCCCTGAGCTAACATCTGTTGCCAGTCTTCCTCTTTTTCTTTTTTTTTCTCCAGTACATGTTGTACATCCTAGTTGTAGGTCCTTCTAGTTCTTCTATGTGGGATGCCGCCTCAGCATGGCTTGATAAGCGGTAAGTCCCAGCTCAGGATCCGAACTGGCAAACCCCAGGTCACCGAAGCAGAACACGTGAACTTAACCACTATGCCACCGGGCCGGCTCCTAACCATTTTAAAGTGTACAATTTAGTGGTGTTTAGTACATTCACAAGTTGTGCAACCACTGCCTCTGTCTAGTTCCAAAATATTTTCATCACTGCAGAAGGAAATCCCATACCCACTAAGCAGTCACTCCCCATTCCCCCCAGCCTCTGGCACCCACCAATTTGCTTTCTGTCTCTATGGACCAATCTTCTTATTATATATGATGCACTCTGATATTTTCTATTCTGTTTCAATACAAAATTGGTCAAGGCCCACCAAACTGATTTCCCAGCCCACTAATGCAGGGCTGCACACTGGAAACTTCTGGAGAGCTTTAAAAGCTACTGATGCCAAGGCCTCACCCCAGAGATTCTGAAGTGGTTTCTGGATTTCTGGAAGCTCCCAGGTAATGCTGTCTGCAGCCAAATCAAGAACCGGTAACCAAATGAGTCTCCCCAGTTTGTAAAACACTGGAATGAGATCTAGAGCCAGGGCAATCCAGGAACATAGAGGGACACAGAGATACCAAATTTAGATACATCACAGAGATACGAAATTTAGACATTGTGATGCCCCTCTGCAGACTCAAGGAGACAGCTCTCTGAGGCAAAGAAACAGGGAGATGCAAGTACCCTCAGAGTTGTAGTGCTATGGAGTTGATTCCGACTCCTAGCGCCCCTGTGGACAGCAGAGCGGAACCCTGCCCGGTCTTTTTGCGCCATCCTCTCACCTTCTGGCGCTATATCAGACAATGCTCTGCTGCTGTTCATGGCCAATTTTTTTGGAAGTGGGTGGCCAGGTCCTTCCTAGTCTGTCTTGGTCTGGAAGCTCCGCTGATACCTGTCCACTATGGGTGACCCTGCTGGTATTTGAAATAGCGTTGGCAGGGGCTGGCCTGGTGGCATAGTTCGCATGCTCTGCTTCAGCGGCCTGGGGTTTGTGGGTTTGGATCCTGGGCGTGGACCTAGGCACCATTTGTCAAGCCATGCTGTGCTGGCATCCCATATAAAGTAGAGGAAGATGGGCACGGATGTTAGCCCAGAGCCAGTCTTCCTCAGCAGAAAGGAAGATTGGCAGATGTTAGCTCAGGGCTAGTCTTCCTCACCAAAAAAAAAAAAAATAGTGGTGGCAAAGCTTTCAACATCACAGAAACATGCAGCCACCACAGTATGACAACCAACAGACAGACAGATGGGTGGTGTGGTTCCCTAACTGGGAAACAAAGCTGGGCCGTGGTGGCGAGAGCACCGAATCTTAACCACTAGACCACCAGGGCTGGCACCCTCAGAGAGAGTCCAAAATTACCTGCAGATAAGAAATAGAAAATCAGACAGACAGACGATGTAGAAACTTTGGGAGAAAGAGAAAGGTATGGACAGACAGATACGGATAGGAGGGCAGGAGGATACCCAGAAATGAGACAGAGACACCAGCTGGACAGAGCCAGGATCCCTCCAGTTCACCACACACTTTTTTTTCAGCTCACCTGTTCTCCAGGACCAGCCCTGCCCTTCCGGCTGGGGCCCTGATCCAGGCCCCAGGAGGCCAAGCCCCTCACCTGCCCTGGCCCCAGAGAAGCTGCCCCGCCACCTGACCCCTTCCCTGGCCTGGTGGGGCCTGGCTGAGGGGCAAGACTGAGCCACGGGGGAAGGGGGAATCCATACCTGCTGCTGCTTCATCTGTCTTGGCTAACCCTTGTCCCCCCTGAACCCCTAACCATACTCGAAGAGTTCCCAAAGCCTGAGACCAAGGCCATTTGGCCCCAGCTCCCTGCCTGGTCCTGGCGTTGCGAGTACATGTTATTTATTACCTGGAGACCTGTCCCGTCCCCACCCCTCCCGCATAAAGCATTGTTTACACCTGTGTCTTGGCCGCCATCATTTTGGGGTGGCGGGGAGGGAGGGGGGCACAGAAGAGGTCCCTGATGGAAGACTCGTGTGTCATGGTGTTTGGGGGGCCATGTTTTTGATTTGGTCAGAGTGTGGGGGTACACTGACTCCATGACTCGGGTGTCTGTTGTGGAGGGAGTTTGTCACTGCGTGCACATTTTGTGACAATGCGTGCTGGAGGCCCACATATGTAACACTGATGTCCTTGTGCTTGTGGTGTGTGTGATGAGGTCTGTAGGAATGTGTGCTTTGTGTGACACTGTTGCTTGTGACTACTCTGTGTCCTCAGTGATTGTGTCCGTGAGGCTAGTGGTGTTGGGACACAAAGGCAAGGGAATGAGAGTTCCAGCCTGTGGGTGAGCTGGGGGTCGTGCCTGGTGGGAGATACCTGTGTCTGTCTCATGCCTGAAAGTTTGAGGCAGTGTCTGACTACTGCGTGTGTGACTGTGCCTGTGTGCCCCTGAGGGCTGTGTTTTGGTGTGAATTTGGCTCCTCTGATACACCTGTGTTGACTATGGACCCTGTGTGTGCGCCTGAGCACCATGTGGGCCTTTGTGCAACCCTGACTGGTGCATACTGGAGACCAGTGTCTTATTGCGTTGTGTCCAGGTTAACCGCTGACACCTGCACGTGCCCTGCCAGGGACAGGTGCAGCCCCCTCCGGACACTCCCAATTGCTCTGCCACCCTGAAGTCGGCCTTAACCCACCCCCTCAGGAGGCCTGAGCCCCTGCGCCCCCTGGGCGATGGCGGAGGGGGCGGGGCATTTAAATAACCTCATCTGCATAGTCCCCCTAGGCCTGGTGCCCAAAATGTTCGTACAGACAAGAGGCAGTCGTGCAAATATCTTCTCCGCGTAGCTTTCCTAGGTTGCTTTATTCCGACTGCCCCAATTGGCCCGAGGGAGCAGGGCGGAGCGGGTCAGGGTACATTTACACATCCCCTGTAATCCGCTCTCCTCTCGCTCAAGGACGTTCTGCACTTTCTTTCCTCCGTTATAAAAAGTCCTTATGTAAATTACTTACTGACGTGTGAATTTACATACATTTCCCAACTACGCAGACATTTCTCAATATCTCTATTCTTGGGCTGTGAGAGGGCGGAGCTGTCCATATAAATGACAACGATGATTTGCACGCCACTCCTCGACCCGGCTCTCATTATTCCGTCGCGTTCTCGGCGCTGAGGGGGTGGGCCTGCCCCTGTAGCTAGCCTTTGCATACCCTTCCTGCGTGTTTGGCATAATACGCGCAGACCCTCCCCCTCCCTCATCCAGCCTTTCCCAACCGCTTTCCTCCTCTCGCGCAGAAGAGGCGGAGCGAAGGATGCAAATAACCCTCGCACCGGCTACAGACCCACTTCCCCTTTCTCCAGGGGGGTCTTCTGGACTTCCTCGCCCCGCCCCGCGCGGCTCGCGCCTGCGCACGCGCCGTCCCTCCGTCCGGGCGCGGTCACGTGCCCACCGGGCGAGGCGGGGGCGGGGCGTCACGGCCGGTGGGGGCGGGGTATGGCGCGCTGTGCGGCGCTGGGCGGCTGGCACAAACGGCGGCGCCGGGGCCGAAGGAAAAGGCTCGGTGAGGGGAGCGCGGGGAGGGGAGGAGAAGGCTTTCGAGCAGGGGTGCGGGCGCGACCTCGGCGGGGTGTAGGGGCGCGCGCCGAGCGCGCCGTGGCGACCCTGGGGAGGGGAGGGTGGGGCGTGGCGGAGGAGCGCGCGCCGGCTCGCTGAGTGCGGGCCGTTTGGGGGGTTGGGGTGGGAGCGGGGAGCGCGCGCCGGGCTGGGGGAGGGGAGCGGGCAGGGGTGCCGGGCGGTCCCTCGGCCCTGCCTCCGTCGCCTGCTGCGCTCGAGGGGCCTCCGGGCCCGCACCGAAGGGAATTGGGAGGGGGGCGCTTGTTTCCTTCGTCGTATCCCCGAAGTGCGTGAACCCTCCTCCGCCCTTCCCTCTGTCGCTGTAAACCCTCCTCCCGCGGCTCCTTCCGTCTGTCTGTCTGTCTGTCTTAGGACCTCCCTTCCGCCTGGGTGTGTGTCAGCCCCCAACAGGCTTCCTCCCGTTGGGCTCAGGTCGACCCCTCCACCCTGTTGTGTCCGGCTGGCTCAGGCCCTCCCTCCCAGCTTCTCTCCGGTCTGTTTTTCTGTCTCTGGGCTCCCGGTTCTCTTTGTCTCTGGACTCCCCAGCTTCCTCCGTCTGCGGACCTCCCACATTCCTTCTGTGTCTCTCTGGAACCCCCAGGCAGATCCCCCCTGTCTATTTGTTTCCAACTCTCGTGCTCCCCACTCCTCCACCATTTCTGTTCTACTGCGGGCCCCTCTCTCTCTCCTGTTTTCTGTCTGACTGAGGATGCTCTCTCCCACAGCCTTCACTGCCGTCTTCTGGCTTTGGGTTATCTACCCAGCCTCATCCTCCAGCGGCCCCCCTCGCTGCCTCTTGTCTGTCAGTGATTCCCCCCCTCCAAATTCCCAGAGTCTTCTACACCACTTGGCTTAGGTTTTGGGGGTCTCTGAGGCCAAGTCAGTCTTCCTTTCTACTGTCCCTAAATCCCTCACTCCTTCCCCTAGCTGGCCTGCTTCTAGGTCGTCTCACTTCTCTTTTTCTCTCTCTCCCACCAGCCACCCTGACGGGTCCCTTCCCAAGGCCCTAGGGACAACAGAGGACTTGGGGACCAGCGAGCACCCCCAGGGCACGAGAAGAGACTTTGCTGCCTGCCCTGCCTCACTCTGCCCCACACCAGGCCCAGCTGCCCGGGCCCCCGGCTGCATCAAGTGGAGGAGGAGGAGGCGGAGGAGGGTGGCACCATGGGCCCGGGCCGTGCCCTCCATGCCCGGGGGATGAAGACGCTGCTGCCATGGACATCCCGTGCCAGCCGCAGCCCCTGAATCAGGCTCTCTCTCAGTTGCTGGATTCTGTGTCAGAGCCCTTGGAGCCTGGCCCGGCCAGGATGGGGGTGGAGGGTTACCTGCCCTGTCCCTTGCTACCCTCCTACCACTGTCCCGGAGTGCCTGGTGAGGCCTCGGCGGGGAGTGGGACCCCCAGAGCCACAGCCACTTCCACCACAGCCAGCCCTCTGCGGGAGGGCTTTGGCGGGCAGGATGGCGGTGAGCTGCGGCCGCTGCAGAGTGAGGGCGCTGCAGCACTGGTCACCAAGGGGTGCCCAAGACTGGCGGCCCAGGGCGCCCGACCTGAGGCCCCCAAACGGAAACGGGCAGAGGATGGTGGGGATGCCGCCGCGCCCAGCAAGCGGCCCTGGGCCAGGCAGGAGAATCAGGAGGCGGAGGGCGAGGGGGAGGGTGGCGTGGGCTGCAGCAGTGGCAGTGGCGAGGCCAGCGCCGGGCTGAGGGAGGAGGTGCTGCCCACCGCGCCCGAGCGCCTGGCCCTGGACTATATTGTGCCCTGCATGCGGTACTACGGCATCTGCGTCAAGGACAGCTTCCTGGGGGCGGCACTGGGCAGCCGCGTGCTGGCCGAGGTGGAGGCCCTGAAGCGGGGCGGGCGCCTGCGTGACGGGCAGCTAGTGAGCCAGCGGGCTATACCGCCACGCAGCATCCGCGGGGACCAGATCGCGTGGGTGGAAGGCCACGAGCCGGGCTGCCGCAGCATCGGTGCCCTCATGGCCCACGTGGACGCCGTCATCCGGCACTGCGCCGGGCGGCTGGGCGGCTACGTCATCAATGGGCGCACCAAGGTGAGGCTGCGGGGCCTGGGGTGGAGGGGCTGCCCGCACCTAGCGCTCTGAGCGCCAGTGGGCTTGGAGACAGGCTTCTGGGGTCACAAAACGGTTTAGGCAGCTCCAGGGGAGGAGCGTTGGAGTTCACTTTGGGCTCCCGCTCCCTTTGGGGGTGGGGGGTTGGTGTCTGTGCCTTCTCCCTATGGACCTGAGGTTGTGCACCTGTAAACCAGGGGTTTGACCTTTGGCCACAGTGGTTCTTTGCCAAGGATCCTCTTGAAGCACCTGGGGAGAAGTGCCAACATTCGTAGCCCCACAGCCGTGCATAGGCCGTGGTGGGGTTCACAGTCTCCTGATGTCAGTTCATGGGCCCCAGACCAAGAATGGTCCATGTAGACAGGCACACGTTTCTGCTTCCCTCTGGCGGTCTGCACCTGTCTATCTGTCCCTGTCTTCATCCTTCATTGTTCACCTGTCCTTCCATCTGTCCCTGTCTTCTGGCCTGTCTGTCTAGTCCATCCTGTCCGCCATCTGTCTCTGGTCTGTCCATTGTGTCTCCCAGGCAGGAGAACCAGGAGACGCGTGGGGGAGGGTGGTAGTGGTGAGGCCAGTGCCAGGCTGAGGGAGGAGGCGCTGCCTGCCGTGCCTGGCGCTGGACTACGTTGTGCCCTGTATGCTATACTGTGACACCTGCGTCAAGGACAGCTTTCTGGGGGAGGCACTGGGTGGCTGTGTGCTGGCCCGGGTGGAGGTCCTGTCCCTATCTTCCCCCTCCCTCCCTGTCCTAGTCTCTTTCTTCCATCCTTTCTGTACTGTCTGCCCATCACTTCATCCCTGTCCAGCTCTGGTCTGTTCCCTTGACCCTCTGCCTTTATGTCTTTTCTTGGTCCCTTTTTTTTGCTTTAGAGTAGTAGTAGTTATTAATCTTTTTGGAACCTGGGCGTTTTTGAGAATCTGCCCCAAACCACAGATCCTTTCTTAAGAAAAATGCTCATTTGATTGGAGTTTAGGGATAGTTGTCAGGGCCTCCTGGGCCTCCAGCTGCCCACTCCAGAACCTGGGGTCAGGAGCCCTGCATAAGACAGTAGTCCACAGGGCCTTTCCCATCTGCTGACATGATAATTCTCTTCATGGAGGCGTCTGAGGGTCCTGGTCCTGAGTCCAAGGCTTGGTGTCATTTGGACAAGGTCCTACAGGGAGTGCCCACTGCACAACACCAGTGATGCCTGGCTGATGGCACCGGCTGCCATCTGCCCTGTGGGCATGAGGCTGTGCTTCTAAAGGCCCCTCCCTCGTCCCTCAGATTCCATCTTGGG